CTGTTAACCGAACCGATTGTATTCGGTTTCACGTAGCACCATTGTTTTCGGTTTTTGAGCGGTCAGTTCTTCGGTCGGTTGCGATCAGTTTCGGTTTTACGGTTTTTTTTGTACAGTCCTAATTTAGGCTCCATATTCCACCCCAGTTTATTTTGATGATATATAATTAAAAGACTAGAAAAGAAAGTTACAGTATGAAAATAAGAAAGAGACAAAAATGACGCCAAATCAATTAAGAAGTTTAGTGCATTCAGCAGAAGAAGAAAAGGAAAATAAATAGGACGAAACAAGTAAAACAGAATAGAATGACGATGACAGAGCATAACAAAATCAAGCAAGCGAACACAAAACGGATACGTTACAGAACAAGTAGAATAAACCAAGTAATATGTATAATCAGATCATCAAGTTCTTATGACACGCTTTCGCGCCTCAAAACAATCTATAATCAGGGGGTTTTGCAAACATTTACACGGTTTTGCTGATTTAAGAATTAATAAGAGGTTCTTCTTCAATTTTTGAGTCCCATCAAACGAATTGTATTTTGCTATTTATCATTTGATCATTTTTCAACCCAAATAAACAACGTCACGAGTCCAAAAATGGCATAGCAACGATTTATTCTAGAAAAGAACAGCACAGCTACTTAATATTATCTTCACGTATCCAAACAAATCTTTGTAATATGATATGTCTTCACATCGTTGTTGGGATCCCACTTTACTAAAAAATCGTATATAGAAAAGGAGAAAATTATGCAACGTATAAAGTTATTATCTCCTATACCCATTTCCTAGCTTGCTACACCATATATACTCGTGAGCCAAAGATACCTTCTTTATGAAAAAGTAATGGTTTTCCGTTACGGACCAGATTATGTGGCTTGTATTAGGGAACGTAACAATTTGCAAACCTGAAATTCCTTCCACGACAACTTGAACAAAAAGTAATATTCAATCCATAATATATAGAAAGAATAGCACCTCAATTGAGGCTCGTATTATTAAAGAAGAGAAAATCAGTATTACAACCACTATAAAAATCAAGTGATTATGTAGAAAGGAAAACCAGTATAATTCTCCATTGCAAATACTTCATTTTTGTACAACAAATATTTTGTACTTCATACACATACATATTTCTGCATACACATACATATATAATTAAACTATATGTACAACTGTTCGGAAGGTTGCTTGAAGCACTAGCTTCGTAGCCTTTTGGTGATATAGAAGGTCACTTGATAGAAATAAATTAAAATTTTTGATCGTTTGATTGTTACTGTTTTAGAAAAAGTGGTAAAGAAAATAGTATGTAGTGTTAAAGTATAAAACTATTATTAGCTCACCTCCTAACAGCTTAAACTTTTGGGATGAATTGGTAAACCCCCGTAATTGTACTCTTTATCTCCATTTAAATTGTCATCATGCGTTGGGTTTTTAATATATCTCGGGCTTAAATATTCACGTGTTGGGCTTTCTAATTAATTTATCCACACAATTGCCCATTATGCAGCCTACACGTGAGGGGAAGTGTTAAAGTATAAAATTATTGGGGAAGTGTTAAAGTATAAAACTATTGTTGACTCACCTCCTAACAGCTTAAGCTTTTGAGATGAATTGGTAAACTAACATGTAGTACTGCAACATATAACAAATGTATTGACTTAGAATTTAGAATATTGTACAAGATTGATTGTAGAACTTCAAACTATGGAGTAGTTCTCTATGATAGGGGATTCTCTCTCTATAAATATATATTTCTTGCCTTCTTTTTTCTTTCTTTTCTATATATACCTTTTCTTTTTCATTGTTAAAATATTGTGTTTTAATGCATATGCTTCTTTATCACTCTCAAAACATTCGAAAAGTCATGTGGGTTTGTCGTTTGAGTCTCAAGAAAATTCTAGCAGAAACAACCAGACAAGACTAAAGATTATTTAAGAATAAATAACTAAACTTTAAAAACAAATCGAGTATATGTAGATGGATCATATATGTTATATCTAACAATGCTCGTTTCTTTATTCTATAGAGGATGTTGACATGTCGGTCAATAGTAGAATTATTTCTTTTTACCCCATGCTAATAGCGATTAGTACTTAACAGTAACTTCAATAGAAGTATTCACCAAAAGGCCACAAATAATTAAACTGAAAAATAAAATCCAAGTGACAGACATGCAAACCGAAATAGAGGAAGCTTTGGAGGATCTTTTTTTATTTATACAGAAACAAAAATGGCACTGCCTTTAGAACTAGAAGAGCTAACATGGGTGGGCCAGGATTTGCCTGCAAGTTGACATACACTGAGCAATAAAGCTTTGTAGAGAATTAGACTCTTTAACCGACTCATAATTATTAGGCTTTATGCTTGAGATAATTAACAGAATACTTCCACATGTTGTTAGTTTATAAGGCCTCCTCTTAAATATCGTTAGGACCACTTAATTGCCTTCTGACTCAGCAATTAGGTGTCATCCATTTGCGAGAGAAACTCCTAGATGTTTCCTAATTCTCTTGTGCTTTACTCACTATACGTACTGTAGTGATTAATTATCTCAAATTACCGATTAAGGATCCATTTGATTCGTGATTTCGAACTTATAACGTGGTTTGAATTGAAATTTTTTTTTTACCTGTGTGGCTTAAACTGAATTGGCGTTTAGAAGTGTAAATTCTAATAGAGAATAAAACATCACAATATCAAAAAACTAGTGTTTAGATATGAGAATTCTGAATTTGTGAGGAAACAAGAAATGAGGTCATGGTTTTACGTAGCAAATGGGTTCAAATTCCATGTGAACCTACAAACCAGACACACTTTAACTATTTCCTAATATATAGTGTCTAAAACGTAGATTGTGATTGCAGACATATCCTACCAGTAAATTCACATTTATTGTATACCATTTGAAAAAATTATTGGACTTATCTTTAAAGTTCGTAAGCCTGAATTTTTATCTTTATTCTGGACTAATACTTTTTAGATTAATATAATTATATGATTAAAAAGGATGGTACTTTTAAGTGTCGAGTTTGGTTCCCCCTCCAACAAATTTGCAACAAAAAAAAAAAAAAAAAACCAAGACAATGCACTACTTGACTAAAAGCATGAACGAATTATTAGAACTGTAATGTGCATTAATTGATAAACAAGAGTGGTCTTTACTTGTTATTGATGATGATCAATGATAATTTCTTGGGTAGACACTTTAAATGTCGTAGTAATTATAGATAGATTGGTGTGCAGATGTAACCTTTCTTGTATATATATAGTAAAGAATGGAAGACAAGTTTTACCAACAAAAATAAAAATAAAAAAAGCGTGAAAGGACAAAGAAAGGATCAGAATGATTAGGAAGAATATAAACATATGTGTGTGTGTGTGTGCAATATCATTGGAATTGTCAAGGCTTAGTTTGTTGTGTGACCACCAAGAGTCTCCATCATGATCTTGATGATGATCATGATCAGGACCATCAATCATTGTGGTTAATGGTTATGGCTGTTTGCTGGATACTGATGATTTCGTGTGAATATGATTTGTTATTACTCTCTGTAATCGTTTTCGTTTTCTCGAGTGGACCTCAGGAAATTCCTTAGTATGCATGGGAGATATATTCATTCATTAATACCACGGGAGGCAACCAAGCCAAATAGATCAAGAGAGAAGTGTATACTACTAGCTTGGAGTTGGCTCATGTGGGTCCCAAATCAAACGGCTGCAAGAAGATCTACCCATAGTTGCAAGTAGAATTTGTATTGAACTCATACCAGTGATTGCCAACCAACCATTCAGTAGATGTTTAGTTCATAAATTTAGAATTATTTTCGATTTATGTGTGTTTTTTATGAAAAAAAATATTATAACGAATCACGAACTATGATTCGAATCATAACACAAATCTACCAGCCAGTGTACTGATAAGATTGAGCTATGTTTCTGGTTTCCCTTTTATTTATTTATTTATTTTTCTTCTTTAATGCTTCTGCTAGTAATGTTGACTTGTACCGACTGCACCACTGTATATGAACATGGATTCACACTAACAAAAGTCCTTGTTTAATCCCGACTCCAACAATAACAATCTTGCTAAGAATATCTCATAAAATATTTTGAAACCTGTACGTATATAGAATTTGGGTAGACTCTTGGGCTCAGTTAGAATGTACTTTTTGTTTTGGGCTCGAACATTGACGCGAATGACGAAAATGTTGTAAATAGGATATTTTTAAAAATAAATTAAGTAAACAGTAAATTTTAAAAGAGAGAAAGAGGAAAATAGGTTAAGACTTGAGATGAATTAAAATTAATAGGTTAATAGTTTACATAAGTTAATAAATAGGCCAAATTACTGTTTGCGTCCATAACTTAATAAGTTATTGTCCATAACTTATCTAGTTATGAACCATAACTTGATAAGTTTGTCCATAATTTATCTGGTTATGAACCATAACTTGACAAGTTATAACCTATTAATTTCTATAACTAAAAATTGGCTTATATACTTTCTTAAGCTTTTCATATTGGCATATTTCCTACTATTTCTGATTTTAAAACTATTTAAAGAAAAAATTAAAAAAAATCTTTTTATCAGTAGTAAAAAGAAAATTTACGTGAAAAAAATATTTTTACTAGTCGTGAATGAATTATTTACACAGTAAATGAATAATTTACCATGTAAACTGCTATTTACTTAAAATAGTTTTAAATATGCTATTTACTTCATATAGTTTCATGAATATGCAATTTACTAGATTCTCCCCAAAAAAAAAAATCACCTTCTGATTTGTGTCAAAAATATGTAGAAGTTTCAGATTCGTACCACACAAATGGATTAGTTAAAATCTCAAACGTCAACAGAAAAGTTGTGACATAGAAATAAAAGTCCTGGCATGCCATATAATCTTTTCATTATTTAATTAGTAAATATAATTCTCAAGAAATTGCCAACAATTTTAAAATGAGGATATAACTATTCACATTCACAAATGTATATTTTTTCCAACAAAATTTTCTTTCGAAATACTTGAATTCCTGCTATTTCATACACTGATTTCACAATCAAATTTTCCAAAAAAAATAAAAACCATACGAGGCTTGAGACAAGCAACTTATATAGCAAAAGCTCTAAAACAGTACCATACATGCACATCACAAATATATACGCATTATAGATGTCCATTCTCGTCCATTGATGATTCAGAGGAAGAGTCGTCCATTGTTGAATTTGAGATGGTCTCCAAATGGCTAGACGCCTCGCTATCCGATATCCCGGAGGGTCTGTCCTCAACCGGTTGTTTCAAGAACCAGAACATGATGCTTGCAGTCAATGTAAGGATCATTTTTTGGTTCACCTGAATACAATGTCAATTGTTAGACGCCACATAAAATTTTGGTAGATGAACAAGAGCATTAACACTTGAAAGGAAATGAAAATAGAGAAGATAAAATGAGCAGATATACTAATTCATCCAAAATTATGATCCAAAACGTTACCTCAGTTACGTCTTCGGGCAACAAAAAGATCGAACATCCGAGCTTCCGCGCAATGCTGATTATGTATGAGGCGTTCATCTTTTTCTCCTCATCTGAATTGCACAAGATTGATAGAATATATCAAATACAAGAAATCAAGAGTTTGATCTTCCTGTTTTATTCACCGTCCGTCCATTTATAATTTTACGTGTCACATAAAACGTCATAGCTACCGGATTTGTTTATCGATTTCGCTTGAAAGTTTCTTAAATTTCTAACCAATTAAGAGGACGTGTCAAAATTTGTTTCACTAGATAGAGAAAATAGACACAGGATTTGGACTTAAAATGTAGCACGTTAAAATAGAGGAAAACATACCAGTCACCCCTTTGGTGACAAGACTCCAATTTACAGCTCTATGCTGCACAGCACTTAGTAGCTCTAGGAAAAAAATGCCGTCTGACAAACTCTTGTCCTGTAAAAGCCAAACAGTAATAATTCAGTCAATTTAAATACTTTGTTACCCGTTTGTTTCATGGGCTTAAGTTTTAACAGAATGTGAAAATACTGTAGTGAAAAAATTTGAATTGTAGTTTAAAAAAACTAAGGTCATTTTCGAAATGTTAATACTAGAACGTATACACAATGCTTTTTATTTGTTTATTTTTGCTAAAGTGCACAAGGGTTTCTATTCATATGGCTCAACCACAAAGTAAGGACTCAAATGGTACCCTAAAACTGTCCATGCGACTTTGGCTTCCCGAGTTGCTGACTTTGGTGTTGGCCCATTCTAGAATATCAGCATCAGTAATTTCCTTCCCATGAGAGTGAAATCTCAAGTTTTTTAGCAATTGGAGGATGTTGTAACGCATCAATTGCCATAAATAAGCTGAAGAGAAGAGCCAAAACTAAGTCAGAATACAAAAAATAAATGAACAAATAATAATATATAAGACCAAACCATGTTCCTTTGATTCTGAAATACAGAAGCCTGAAGGTAAAAATACGGTTATGGATGTTAAGCACAAGACATACCAAGTATCAACTTTTTGTTCCCCTGCACAATATCATTTCCGGCAATATTTACTAGGGAAAACTTCAATTGTTTCCCTATTTTCACAACTTGATTACAGTTTTCTACTTTTCTGAATGGCATTTTAATAGGAGGCTTGTTTGCGATCTTCCAATTCACGATCCCCGGCGAAACCTTGTCTAGTGTCTCGAGGAGCACCCACCTGTAGAAGCCAACATATCACTTTAGTATTGTCAGAGGGAAATTAAGATAAAGCAGGATGAAAGTACTTGAGAGAATAGTTTCCATGAAGACAATGGTTAAATTGAATTTGACTTATTTATGTTAAAAGCTTAGGACAAAGTAAGATATCATCATGAAAAGAATAGAATAACAATAGATGCTTCACCCATTTCTAAGGTCTTCAAAGACATTGTTAATATATGTTGAATTTCCCAGACTGTTCATCCAAAAGCGAAAGGCTCTCTCTTCTCTAGAGATTTGTGTGTCATCAGGCGAAGTATCAAGGAAAGATATCTGCTTTGTTTGGGTTGAGAGCCCATTCCTACATGTGAATGAACAATTTTTAGTCCTTTTAATGCAAACAGGCGGGCTTTGCTTTGGCCTCACAATGCAAAAGAAATCATGCTTACAGAAAAAAAAAAAAAAAAAAAAAAAGAGATGATTCTCACCTATGCTGGAAAATATGTGCAACAAACGCAAGATTCAGATTCGGAGAGCCTTCGACGATATCTTTTGCAGTTAGGTATCTCTTGCATCCCATTCTTTCAGCATGTGCAAGAACTAATTTTGCTCTTTCTAAAGGATCCTTTGCGGCCAAGGCAGATGGTTTACTGTGCTCAGGTGCAAGAACATTTAAGAGGTGAGCGTAAGCCTCCGCGTCCTGCAGGAAAATTCAATCTCTTACAGGGTTCGAATATAATCAAGGAGAATTGCAGAAAAAAAAAGTTTCTTGTTTGCCAAGTAATAGAATTGTAATTATAATTTTCTCTTTACAACTTGTTCTTGTTCTCGAGTACCTTTACATCAGAGGAGAAGTTTGTGACTATCTTTCTGTATCCTGATTTCTTCAGCTGAAAATTCATCCACCTCAGTAATATCTTCTCTGGTGGAAGACTCATTAACTCTTCAACATCCTAATCATTTCGAATATAAGAGGACAACACAATATCAGATAACTTGTTGATTTAAGAACCATCACTACCAAAAAAGCTTGGTACTTGGTACATTTTTACCTTGCTATCATCAACCAACTCTACCAACTGAGGTGTTTTTTTCAAGTTGAGGTCGGCCAGTAATTGTATCTATATAAAACAGAAACAATTAAAAATTTCATCAGTTATTGTTTAGAATTCAATATAAGATGTTATATAGAGTGTTCCATGGATAAGGTAAGAAGTTGAAAATTGATCGTGCTGATAACTGTAATAGATGTTCATTTCTAATTCTCCCCCTTCATGTGTAGGCCTGGACAATATCAGAGGGTGACAAAATCCAAAAGAAAATGCCCGACTTTAGGCCGGAATTTCAGAGGAGAGCAGAGAGGGGAAAACGTGAAAACAAACAAAGGAGCACACATTGAGGTTCAAACTCAGGACCACCACCTTTTATAGATATTAGTTTTACCAACTCTCCTAAAAGCTTAAGTTAATAGGAAGTGGACCAACAATTAGCGCTCATTTTTCGATGGACCGATGCCATCCCTATTGGTAATTTGTCAATTCTCCTAAAAGTTTAAGTGAACGAAAGTGGGCAACATCTGTATTTAGTAAAAGTCCAAAAATAATCACAAAAATCTTACCTTGATTATCTGAGAAATCAATCCAAGCACCAGATGACGCTGAAAACAAAAGAAAACAGGATATCAATCACACTATGGAATAGAACTAAAAAGTATACAATACAGAGCTATTAGAAAACGTGAAAGACCCCCTAAGGAACAACCGATAAGATTAAAAACGGAAAACAATAGATAGAAAGTATGCTGAATGTATACATACTCTTCCTTCAATGAAATCCTGAGTCCCTATGTTGACTACGGTGCATCCAATAGCCTTGGCAGAGTTGAGGCAAAGTGTATGGTTTTCATTTCTTTCCCATGGATTAAGCACTCTCTTAGTATTAATAGCTCGTTCATCAATCGTTCCAGGAACAGCCACATTGATTAACTTACTACATCCAAAAAAAAAGTTTCCAAAACATCAAATCCCTATGCTCAAAACAAACTAACACAATGATCAATAGAAGAGCTAAAAAAACAAGAGACTTTGTTAGATCACCATAAAAGTACTCCGTCTTTCGTGATCTCGAACAGATCATTGGTGGAAGCATCAATTGGAAGGTATTTCTTCAAGAAGTCATCTCCTGCGAGGTAGTTATTGATGTGGGCGACATATGAGGCCTTCTCGGATTCGCTGATCGTGTGAAGCAACGTTGTCGTCGCAGCCTTGAGAAATGCCGATGAGTTTTTCGCAGCGCTTCCGGTTCTAGCACTCGCGTGAGCATTGAGATTCAAATAAACCTGTCACATATATTAATACATTCATCTAAAAGTTTTCACTTTCGTCACAAACTTTTGCATCAAATGTAACTGAAAGCGAGAAACGGACCCTGAGGAAGAACTCGAAATCGACGTCGTCGTCGAGTTTGTGGTGAAAGTTCTGGATAAAAGAAGCTCTCTCTTCCTCGGTCAGATTCTCTCCAACGACTTTCAAGTTTGACATTCTTGAAGCCAGGTCTCCCACGGTAAGCCTTCCACTCTCTCTCCTCATGGTGGTGAACTTCAAACACCAATCAATCGCCATGGAAAAACCGAACAAAGATAAGATCTTCAAAAATCTAGGAATGAGAAAAACAAAACAAAACAAAAAAAAGGAAAATGAGAAGAAATTTCTTACGTGGGACTTTAAGCTGCGAAGCTCGACTTGCGTGAACTGGTTTTGAAGCCACGGATCTGAAACCAGAATGCCCACGTAGCCCGACATTTCTTAAACTCCAAAAAAAAAAACTGGATTTACTAGATAAAGATCTTCTTCTTCTTCTTTTTCCTGTTCTTTTGGATTTAGAGAGAAGAAGAAGAAGAAGAAGAAGAGCTCAAAGCTCGACGCTCAAACAACTTCTTCTTGTTGGGGTGATTTTTTTTTTTTTTTTTTGGTTGGTTTGAAGAAAAATCAAAATGGAAGTAGTAGTAGTAATAGTAGAGAGGAGAGAGATGGGATGTGAGGGCCAAGAGGGTTGCGTTGGGACGGTGTAGAGCTGTCAGTGTTCAAAGTTGGTTCCTTTGATTAGGAATTTCAAATTATGGCCATCTTCTCTTATTTCTCTCTCTCTCTCCCCCTTCCTCTTTCTCTCTCTTCCAAGTAAGCAAAGAGAGTGGGAAGTGTTTGCCAAACCATTGGAGCTGGGCCCACAGTGTCGTATGCCAAAATTCAAATTATGACCTGCATGTCCCTTGCATACTGTAGTTTGGCCGTTAGAGAAGTTTTCTTGTGACTAGCGTTAAACATGGATTAGTCCAAGATTTGAAATTTTTATTAAACTCGTAAAAGCATCCAAGGTAATTTACATACATGTTTGTTTACCTCATAAGAATCGGTATTATATATAACATTTACATAAATAAAAGGTGTGATATTATAAACCGGTTGATTTTACTAGTTCGAATCATAATTCAATATTTTACTACAGCATTTTCTCTCACAAAAATTTAAATTTAACTTTTTTTACTACAGTGTATTCTCTCGTATGAATTCACATTTTTTACTATAGTGTATTCTCTCATATGAATTCACTTTTTTTAACTCAAATTCTCAACTCAAACGAGCAAAATGAACAAAGTTTTTTTTTAGTATGTATCATGTGAAACACAAGCATTATAAAAAATTGTTGTTACCAAAACAATTATCATATTACATCTTCTAGGCCATGTTACTGTGTAGGAGACAAAACCTTTTTTGTTTATTAATTATTACCATTGATTTGAAATATACTTTCCCTCTTACAAATTGTTCAAACTGTATGTTTAACCATCTGCGGTTGAAAATTATCTTAATGGAAATTACAATTTAAGTGTCAATCAAAGGATATAATGAGATTGTCAAAAAGAAAAGGCAGATAATGAGTTCTTCAATTTCTGATGCTTATTTAGATTTGTGTGTAAAAGCATATGATTAAAGAAGCGGGTTCATCTTAATTACTAGAGGTTTTTGTTAAACTATTTTCTGTTTGGAACTTTGGATATACGTAGATTCATGGAATGTTGTTTCAAGGGTTCGTTCTTGGTTCTGAATCATGATTCTTGGCTCCCATCATGGTTCTGAATCTATGAACCAAACATCCCATCATTGATTCTAGAAACCGAAGCTTAAAAAAATAAAAGCTCTGTTTACTTCAACAACTCAAACTATTATTTAGAATTCAAACATTAGTTGAAGATTTAAATTGGTGTTTGAGAGAGGAAAATTTAAAAACAATTCAAACCATTAACAATGATTTAAGGACAACTCAAATTGTTGATTTTAGAATTCACTTCCCTTCAAATTCTAACAATCTGAATTGTTATCAACAATCTAATAGTTCTAAATTATACTTTTTCTCTCTCTTCAATTATAATATTAAAAATATATCATAACTTATTCGTTTTAATTCCGATTGAGATGATTTTTTTAAAATGTGTTCATAACGATGAGAGGAACAAATCCTCACTCATATTGCATATTTTTTAATGTCATTTATAATGAGGTTTAATGAGATTTGTTATAAAACTCTAATGACAGTTTTCTAACGCTTTATCCAAACACAGTTCAGATTTTATTATCAATTTAAATTAGAAATTATTTGCATATCTAAACAACAGTTCAAATAACAGTTTGAATTACCACAATTTAGATTTTACAATTATAATTAAAAAGGTTTAAATTTTCATAGTTTGAATTGTTGAACCGAACAAACCCAAAAACCAACAAACGCAAAGGCATTTGTTTAGAAGGGCAATCTAGTCAGTTCAGCAAAAGAGATGGATGACCATGCCATATTAGAAATCGCAAGGCCCACTTGGTAAAAAGTTTGCGTGCCTTTATAAAAAGTATTTTGAGTTTGATAAGAGAACGGTTGTTTTTGACGTTTCCTAGTAACTTATTCCTTTATTCAACAATTTAAGCTACCAATTTACCAATTTTATAACACCAAATGTTGGTAACAAATAATTTATTTTAGGCCTTTGGAAGTAGGTGATCTCATTATTATTTGTCCTCTAAAATATAAATTGTGTGTAGGTAAAAGTAGGTTGATCTTTAACACGATTTATCAATAACCACAATATGTTGTGTTTTCAGAGACAGCTCATTTGGTTCAATATTTTCTTTCAAAAAAAATTCTCAAAAAATCTAATATCAATTTTGCTAGGTATGGTCCCTTCAAAAGAAATGCAAGAAATGGAGCATCAATAAATGTTGCCAAATTTAATGCCTTGAAGAAACATAAATACGATTTGAACATGTTCGTTGATAAAGCACGTCCTTTACCCAACGCATTTACTCACTGCTTCTTCTGATATTTTTATTTTTATTTTTTTTTATTTTTTTAATGCAAACCCACTGCTCGAATTGTGACTCGTGAGAAGTGGTAACTTTTTACATATATATATATATATATATATATATATGAGACATAAAAATGGAGCTACACATTATTCTCCTTTTTCTTCACCTTCAAAGTTCAAAGAATTAGAGTAATTGAAAACCCCTTAACTATTTTATGGTCACAAAAATAAGTACAATATAAATTGTAGGGGTCGAAAAGTTTCATGGATCAAATTCAGCCCAAATTTCTAACCTTTAACCATGTCAACTTTAGAGAAGATAGGGAGGACCCACCATTTGATCAATCCAAGTAGCTAGAAGAGAAAAGGAGCATCTTCAACAAATCTGTTTTGGGATTCGGATTTCTCTTTTTTCCTCTTCCATGGTTAGTAATAGTAGCTTAATTAAAAGAAACCAAATTGGTTATGGAAAAGAAACGAGTTAGACAACTAATCAAAGGCTTGCCTTTCACACCCATCAATCTTCATCTTCATCTCTAGAATTATTAGCAACAATCACGTATTATCTTACCTTATTTTATAATAAACGTTTCTACTTTTTCATGTCTATGCTGGTTTTTTTTTTTTTTTTTTTTTTTTTTTTTTTTTTTTTTTTTGTGTGGAACTTAAATCAAAATCAAGCATGTGAATGAATCACAAAAAAGCAAACCATCCTCACGCTTGTAAGGAGGTAAAACCATCTTTTTGCTCATGTGGAGGGTATCAACATATACATCATTACATACCACAACTTGATATCTCCTTTTATGAAAATCATTCCAAATGTTAAAAAGGAGTTTTCTGTAAGGATACGGGAGGGATACCGTATAATTATACATGTCAAATTTAATCAAGTCACAATGAAAATATGTAAAATTGACAGAATCTCATATAAATGTGATGATTCAAAACAAAATTCTACCGGTGAATTTTTTTTTTTTCCCCATACCTTAGAGTATAATTCCCTACTAGTAGGATACACGTTTTGACATATCCAAATCCTATCTAGCTAGATAAAGCATTTGATAATTTAACAAAATTTGTTAAAATCTTGAAGTTAAAAATTGTTGTGTCGTGACGTTTTCTCATGCCTTAATAAAAATAAAAATAAATCTCAAAGAAATAAACAAACAAAACGCCCACGAGATGATAAACAGTGACTCACATACAAAAGTAACAAGAGTCTTGAATGTCATTTTGGACATGTGGGTCATCATTCCCATATTTTCGTATGGTTGTGAAGCACTAATACTTGAAAAGACGGCTAATGGGCAACTCAAAACTTTTTCAATGCTTCTTTTTTCTTTTTTTCTTTTTCTTTTTTCGCTTTTATGAAAAGGAGTTTCCAATTTCCATCCTATGGAGAAGAACAAGAAGAAGAGGGCATAAGAGGGACAGGCATGTGTTGTTTTGTAGGCCAATGTGGGGAAGAGAGGCAGGACATAGCTTGGTGCCAAATCCAAGTCGGTGGGAAGAATATGAAAATTCTTTTTTCTTTTTTTTTTTTTTTCTTTTTTGCTTTAATCAAAAGGGAATATAGAAACAAATGAAGAGGCCGTGGGGGAAAAGGCTGTATATATAATTGAGGAATGTATATCAATCCTTGCTGTTTTTGCTTCTACTACTCACAGCATTCAAATCATTATAAGGTCCACTAAACTTCTTACACTGATGTAAGTAGCAAAAATGCCTTATTTTGTGGGCCCCTCTTCCACATGGTGTTTAGCTATTTTTAATTGGACTCGCAATCTTCATCATTTTTCTTCAGCTGATCTCTTAACTAAAGTTTTGATTTGAAGCATATTGGAGTTGATTCCTATAATCATTGAAGATTTGATCCAATGTTTAATTGAAATAAATCTTTGGTTCACAAAAATGGCAATGGAAGTGTAATACTATCTCATTCTTTTCCAAAGGTTTATAATAAGTCTCAGAATATGACATCCTATACTATATATAACAACTCAGATGTATTGACAAGACTTTAACCTACAAATTTTTTGTTCTAGCTGCCAGTGTATTTAAGGATCAGGTGGTACCTACCATAAATAGTATGTCTAAAATGCTATTTCCTCGAGAACCTGAAGTGTCTTCTGATGGACCTGGATGATATTTAAAAAAAAATAATAATAGTGAATCATTTGGAGAAGAAAATAGCTGCAGAGGGAAGGAAATCATAACGCAAAATGATCTACGAGCCTTATTGTGGAGTGTAACTTATTTAAGCAATGTAGGAAATAGGCAATAGATGAAAAGAGGATGTTCTATAACATAAATCAACGACTACTTTTGAATGAGAGAAAGAAACAGAATACAGTCTGACAAAAAGAAAAAAAGAAACTGAGAATCATGTTGGCAAAGAGTCTGAGCATTCATATCTGGGATAGGTAAAGAGAGAGCAAGCCAAGCGAAAAAAGGGGGAGGGGGGTTGGTTTACCCATTCTAGATGTTGTGCCGTGATACCGGGCACGTTTCCAGCATATATACCACCTAAGACCTGCAGAGTTCAGAGGAATCCGAACCAGTCATATAGTCGTTTGCATAAATGAAATAACAGTTTCGTGGGAGTGGCTTGAGCCAATCTAAATGTATATGTGAACAAATTTAGCCGACCTTGTTTAATGAAATCCAACAAAAATAAATAAATAAATAAAAGAACAAACAAATTCAGTTTTAAACAACAAATAAAAAATTAATGGGACATTCTGTCACAAAACCATCCACAACGATAATGCATCCTTAAATCAACATGAGTTAAAAACTCCACGAGAAATCCCAATAAGCAAATGGCATGAGATGTAATAATTGGCTTTTACCTTGGAGACCGTCTCAAGAAACATGCCAGGGCGAACGGGGAGTGGTTTTCGTCCTGTCACACTTTCCTGGTAATCATGATGTGTGAGTTTAATAAGTACATTAGCAGCAGCTTCTCATTCGCATTAGAGCCTATGACAATATTTATTAACTGAAACTCACCCTTCCTTTGATTCCACCTGAGATCCGTCCATTTGTCGTGTGTTCCTCGTCAGAGTCAGCAGTCTCGGCACCTTCATCTTTTCCTTGCATCACGTTTTTTATCATCTCCTGGACAGCTCTCCCCGGTTTTAAAGCAACCAGTTTAGTTAAGAAGTTGACCTGCATCATATTGGCCGTCATATTATGACTGACTATATTGGATTTCATTGAAATGTAGGAAATAATTCTTAGTTAATACACGCCTTTGAAAAGATCTCATATAGGTCAACAACTCAACTAGGCATGTAAAAACAGTTAAATGCTCATAGGACATAGGTGAAGAAATACATGCCTCTGCTTCAGGAAGAGTAGTTAAGCCACGATCATTTCTTTCATCTAATATACCACCTCCCATCATATTCCGAGCTTCCTCTCTTATCAAAACAAGTCTTGCAAGCAATTTTCGATCCGGAACAACGGGCCGTGTTTCCATTGTCTTCAAAATTGATGATATTGGAAAATATTATAGCAAAAAGGAAAAGGAAAACATCATAGGAAAATTATGAACCTCAATTTGTTAAGATAAAAGAAATACATATTCATGCATCACATGATATGATGGGAAAAAAAATAAAAAAAAAGGAAGGCGAGGAAATCAGTGCTATCCACAAAATTATAGTATAGGGCCATGGCATTTTATGTTTGTTACAAGCTAATTCATGTTAATTCATTAATGAATTCAGCTAGACCATGTAATGCTTGGCCTGAGAATCCAAATTTGCACCCTTCCATGAATCAATGGCTTTTCATGTGTTGTCACCATATGTTGAACTGTATAAGATTCGCGTAAAATTTTAACCTAAGAAAGCTAAAAGAGAAGCCCATAATTACGAAACAGTCACAATGTTGAACATAAGATGACCAATTATAAGAGATTAGCTACATGATCCACTTCCAACAGATGTGAAACTATTTAGTGTGACTAGGACAATAGTATGATGCAGGTGCTTTCATAGTAGCTACCTCTAGTAAGTCATCGGCCTGGTTAGCAATTTCATTCAAATTTGCCCCTGGAATATGAACTTTAGTTCCACTCTCGTTTTTAAACACGCCACCACCACCAGCCACTCTGCGTAATAATTCTTGTCGGCTCTCTTTCTGAGGGGTTCTGCATAGTAATCCTATCACTTGAACCTACAAAAAGAAAGATCCAAGAAGAAAGGAACAATGATCTTAGCATTTTAAACCATCTTTACTGTTGAGCAAGTATTAGACTGAAAATGAATAGGGTATTTGGATTGAAGAAAAAAAGTCCTTACATGGGGAGGACACTTTTTTGTTAGATGCGATAACACCGTCTCCTTTATCACCTCCAAAAGTGACTTGCGCTGATAAAAAAGATTGGTAACCAATTAAAATAAGCTCCCAGGAATGATTTAAGATACAATAATGTTCGATCAGTACACGAAGTCCTAACACTATTTCCCAACAAACAATATGGCACTACAGAAACTTGTGTGCATCATGTTCTGTTCTGACCTCTATTGTGTAATCAAGAAAAGTTGCACACTCCTAATGCAAAAAGTTTTAAAATCACATAAACAATAGATTTTAGTCACTAAATCCGACTTCAAAGACAAGGTCATTGTTAGCGTCTATTAGAATCACAATGCCTTAGCAAAAATTTAACAAAATTCATACTCCTGAAATAGTTTTAAACTAGTACACAACAAAAAAAACTGCAAAATAACCCACAAATGAAAAACTGAGACAGAACCTTATCATCTTGGTCCTTTTCAGCAAGTTGGATCATGTAGTCCAGAGCCATCATAAAACCCGATTCCATTTCATCAACTCTCTTCCCTATGACCCCTTGCGCAGCCAACTCCACAGCCACCTCTTCAGATGCATCATCCATGCTCATATCTTCCAACTGTACTAGCATATACACACCCAATAGGCAGGTAAAAAAAGAAACAATGGATTCAAACTTCCAATACAAATCCAACTTAAAGGGTATTAATATTTCTTAACTTGACTTCTTATACAGATGCCTCCTAATTGAACTAACAATGCACAATCAGAGAACGGTTTAAAACAAAAATATAACTTATACTGCCTGTTTGCCATTCTTCCAGGAAACTGTTTGTCTTCCTAGGTCAGAAACTATTATGTTTGGAAAAGTTTGAGAAGAGCTCCAGTAAAAAGCTACAAAATGTGACCTGAAAAAAAATGAAACTTGTACAAGAGTTTTAATAGGATTTCATAAATTTCACTTTACTATTTTTATTGCTTATTAGAAAATAAATCCCAGATTAACAGCACAAGCCTATGCTTTATTTGTCTTCCAAAGTTCATGGAAAAACGCCATTGTATTGATTTTAGAAAATCAACAACCAATGAAACACCCTATTCCCAATGTACTAAGCAATATCCAGCTGATTCAAGTATATCACCATTTTATTTATTCAGCAAAATACATATATATATATATATATATCACCATTTGTACAACCCCCAGACAAAATTAAAATATATTTATATATAGAACTCACAAGGGTGATCATCTCTTCGAGAACAGATGTGACTTGCTCTCCTCCTTTGAGCAGAGCCGCACACTCGGAAGGGTCCAATTTCTCGTTCCCTTGCTGTTGGGCAGCAGAGCTCCTTCTGTCTTTTAAGTCTAATTCCTCATCTGGGTATCCTCCTCCGACCTCGTAAGTGGCGGCGGACGCCACCAACGCCCTCTTCTTCTTCGGCACTTTCGGCCGCCATTGAAGGTGGAGGCAAGGCTTTTGCTGGGAGTTTGCGGAGAAGCAGTACAAGTGGAATGGAATGAAGATTGGTTTCTGAGAGGAAGTGGTTGGGAATGGAGACTGTGTAAGTGGGTGTGAACTGGAGGGGAAGACGATGGTATTCTGCAACATTTTTTTTCCTTTGTCGCTTTAGATTTTGGTGGCGGGTTTTGTATGGGTTTTGTGTCGCCGGTGGAAAATCTTGAGTACCCAAAAAAAAAAAAAAATGCCTTGAAATGAAAGGAGATTCGAATTTTAATTTGAGTTGAGATGTGATATTTTATGAGAGTTTTTCACTGTAGTAAAAAAAGTTAAATGTGACATTTTTTGAGCTTTTTAGTGAAAACTTGAATCGGTAAAATGAACGAGGACATAGTATAAGTAAAGTAAAGAGTAGTGGAACTTTGGGCCGGCGGGCAGGCCTGCTACCCGAATTTTTCGGGTTCGGCGGGCAGGCTCATATGCCGGCCCGTCCAAAGTTGAAATTCAGGCTCAGGTTTGGGCAGCCCGAATTTGGTACCCACGCCGGAACCCGCCGCCCTGTAGGCGCCGTCAACTGCTGTTCGCCGGAGTTTTTTTTGAATTTTTCCGGCCAAGCCCGAATTGCCCGAAAAACGGTCAAACTTCTAACTGTTGATGCCCGACTAAAAAATAAGCCCGAAAACCCGAATTTTGCCCAAATGCCCAAGGTGCCCGAAAACTCGTCCAACGGCTAGTTTTTTTTATCGTTGCCGCTCGAAGCCAACCCGCCGAGACCTAAAGTAGTCGTTGCACCCCGAATTTTTGAAAAAAAAATAATTTTTTAACCCAAAAATTTTCCTATAAATACCCATCATTTCTCACACATTTTTCTCACTCAAACTCTCTCAATCCATCTCAATTTCTCTCAATCTCTCTCAATTTCTCTCAATCTCTCTCAATCTCTCTCAATCTCTCAAATCTTTATCACAATTTTTCTAAAAATTATCACATTATCCTAAAGCTCTCTCTCTTAAATCGCTCTTATTTTTTTATAATGGATCCTTTTGGTTATAGTGGTATTCCCGTTGATGCCCAAATCTTTATCACAATTTTTCTAAAAATTATCACATTATCCTAAAGCTCTCTCTCTTAAATCGCTCTTATTTTTTTTATAATGGATCCTTTTGGTTATAGTGGTATTCCCGTTGATGCCCAACACAACGTGGAAGAAGGGTAATTTCCCACTAATGAATTTGTTATGCAAGAATCTACTAATCCGAGCCCTGGTGGACGTACTAGAGGTCGTGGTCGTAATGGTGGTGGGCGTGGAGAAGCGGCAAATGCCAGTGCGACTGCGTCTACAAGTGTTGCAACCTCTAGGAGGAAATGCAAGCGCACCTCGACAATTTTAGATCACTTCGACATAATTGAGGAGATTGACAATGAAGGTAACACTAAACATATAGCTCAGTGTAAATATTGTTTATCTAAATTATAAGGTGACACTATTCACGACACCACACACTTGAGAAGACACTCCGAAAAGTGTCTTCAAAAGCTTAGCCAATCCGGCGGATCCAAACTCCGCCAAACACAATTATTTTTTTATCGTGCAACCGGTGGTCTAACCACTTGGAAATACGATCCGCAAGTAGATCGTGTGGAAGTTGCACGAATGATAGCTGCTTTAGATCAACCATTTAGTTTTGTAGAGCATCCTAATTGGCAACGACATATTAAGGTTGTACATAATCCTAATGCACATTTCACTTCAAAAACTACTCTTAGGAAAGATTTATTAAAATTATTTAAAAAAGAAAAAGAAACATTAATAAATCTTTTACACTCAACTAGCGAGTGCGTTGCGTTAACGGCAGATATTTGGTCTGCCGTTGCCAATAAAGATTATTTAGCTGTAACCAGACATTACTTTAAAGGATTTGGTTTAGATAAGAGAATATTAGGTTTTAAATGTGTTATAAGATCACATAGTGCGGATTTAATATATAATACAATTTTAAATGTAATTAATGAATTTAGATTAAGAGATAAAGTAATGGCTATAACATTAGATATTGCTAGTGTCAATACAAAAGCAATTGAGTTCTTTGAAAATGATTTAAGTTTATTTGGTGACAGTACTATTTTCCACCAATATTGTGCATGTCACGTAATTAATTTAATTGTTAAATCCAGTTTAAAAGAAATGAGTAATCACATTAAAAGAATTAGAGATAGTCTTGCATGGATTCAAGGTAGTAACCAAAGACAAGAAGATTGGTTTAGGTTATTACAAGTATTAAATATACCTCCTAGAGCATTAGCGTTAGATATGCCCATAAGATGGAACTCAACTTACATAATACTTCAACAATGCATCCCCTATAAGGATGCTATAACAAACTATATGTGTGCAAGAGTAGGAGTATGACATATAGACGCATATAATTGGTAAATTGTCGAAGTTTTGTATCAATTTTTAGGTAGGTTTCATGAAGTGACTTTAAAACTTAGTGAAACATATTACCCAATATCACCTTTAGCTTTAGGAGAACTTTTACGAATTAATATTTTATTTAGCGAATATAGGGATGACCCAATCTTAGCAGTTCCTATCCATTCTATGGAAAAAAAAATTATAAAATATTGGTCTAAGTTGCCTTTGTTGTATGGTTTAGGTACTATTTTTGATCCTAGATTAAAATTAGAAGGTTTAGAAAACTTAGGTGAATTTTTAGGCATCAAATGTTCGGACCAATATCCAATAATAAAAGAAAAAATATATTCGATCTATAATAAATATGAGATTAGGTTTAGAGTATCTCCTAGAGTACAGGAACCGCAACAACAAGACGAAAATCCGCATTCATTCTTAAATATTTTCGGGTTAAAAAGAAGAAGAAGACAACTCAAACAGAAGCTGGGAGTGAATCTTCGTCAACAAGTGGCTGTGGTAGCAGCGGCGGCAACTTCAACGAGCTTATGACGTACCTCGGTGAAGGCTTTGTAGTTGACGATATGACAAAATCGTTTGACTTAGTTCAATTGTGGAGGGCACGGGCATTAACTTGGCCAATCCTAACTCGATTGGCAATGGATATATTTTTTATCCCAGTCTCCACTATTTCATCCGAACAAGCATTCAATACGACAGGAAGAATACTTGAGGAGTGCCGGAATGCATTGCTAAGAGATATTGTCGAAGCCTTGGTTTGCATTAAGGATTGGGATCGGGCCGATCAACGTCTACAGGATACAATTTCATCGGCAAGCCAAGAATGGATTGATGAATTTAATCGATTAACATTTAATTTTGAAGACGATCCTTCAACTTTAAATTAAATTGTAAATTTGTAATTTGTAAATATGTATTTACTTTTGACATTGTATTTGTAATTGTATAATTTTGTAAGTTTGTAAAATTTGTAATTCGTCACAAAATGATTGCACTTTTTTTTCCTTGCCAAGTTTTTATCACATTGTGTTTTTCTTGGTAAGATTTTTAACGAGACAATCATGAATTACGAATTTAATATACATCATTAATATACATGATTAATTTATTCAATTATGTTAATAATGTCTGTTGAATGTTGATTTTAATTTTTATATAATTTTAACACAAGTTAACTTAATAATTATAAAAATTAAAAAATATTTAAAAATATTTAAAAAAAATTCGGGCTATTCGGGCGGTCTCGGGCAGCCCGACTGGGTTCAGGCAGTCAAATATAAGCCTGCGGCCCGTTCAAGGGTATTTTCGGGCTCGGACGGGCAGCCTGAATTTTTCGGGCGGATCGGGCTCAGGCTCAAGTAAAAACTCGATATTTTCAGGCGATCGCGTACAGTCCGTCTAAAATTTCAACACTAGTAGAGAGGACAGTATTAAAATCTGTGATGCTTTCTGCTGATAATAATATTTACTAAAGTAAAGTAGAGAGATTTACTTATATACCATTAAAATTCAACTTATATCTCTTTTATTTATTAGAATATTCTATCAAAATATTCTCTAAAAATGTATGATCATCTTTATCGAGAATGAAAAATAATTTGATAAAAAATTAAAGTTATCCTAGTAGAATATTTTCTTTATTTTTAATGATTTGAATAACATAAATGTTAATTTACGTTATTGGACGGTATAAAGGTAAAAATTGCATTTTTTGAGTGATATTTTTATATTTCTCTGAATGTGATATTTGTTTTAAACTTGAATAAGTGAGAGTTGTGTTAGATTAAAAGGGAAAAAAAACTATGATAATGTAATAAAACTTGATGAAAAATTCACAATTATAAATTGTTTTTAATGATAATTGAACAATTTTTTAATAAAAAGCAAAAAAATACTTAGTGCACCATTAAATCAATGGGAGAATGAGAGATTGTTTAATAAAATGAGAACTTAGTTATGTACATGGGGATATATGTTAATTTTATGTTCTTTGTAAATAAAAGATTACTGTGTAACACTTTCAAATGTAAAAATCAGTATCATTGCTATTTTTTCAACAGATAACAATGCGTTTATTATCAAGCAACATTATTAATGAATTTCAGTGAAGTCTCTTTCACTCAAAAGATTTATCTTATGGGTTTTTCCTCTTATTCATTTACTTAATTTCAATGCACAAAGAGTTTTTATCTATAATTTATTGCCACGTTTTATTGTGTATCGGTTGACTTCTAATACTGTTTTGACAACTCATTTTTTTTTCTTTCTGGAATTTGACAACTCATTTTTAATCGTTTAAATAGTTAATATATTCATTGAGCAAAAACAATAAAAAAAGTTTTAGTATTTAATATTTAGTAGTATTTGGTCAAATTTTCAAAGTTAGATGATGTTACAACATACTGTTGAAGAATAATCAACAATATAGGAAATTTGGAGCTAACATATATTCTGATTGTTTTTTTATTTTTGTTTCCGTTTTTAAAATTTTTATTAACCAAACGCAATTTGTGAAGTGTTTTTGTTTTCGTGTCTTAAAAGATGTGCGGAAACGTTTTCGAAAATAATTCTAAACGCACCTATAGATTCTCAAATAAAAACCTTGTGATATAGCAAATAGAAAATTATAAAAACTGACCTTTAAACACATCATTCTGCAGTTCCACCATTTTAGCTACCCGTTTGATAATAATCTGTCAAATTATATATAATAATTTATTAAATTATAAACAATAATCAGTCAAATTATGCCCACTGCAGACGAGCGAAGACCTGCCGTCGATGATATCTGTCAAATTGTCAATAATAATCTATTAAATTACTTACTCTAAATGAGAAAAATTCAATAAGTTAATGTTGAAATTCAAAAATCCTTAATAATACTATTTTAAAAAGAATTTATCAAAATTACCCTATAGCAATAGACTATTTGTAATTCCTACATTTTGTAAGCATGTGCAGTATTTCTAAAAATATAATCGTTAATATGTGTATGCAGTGTGAATCAATAAATTATTTTCATTAGATTATAAGAAAATAAAGTATTTTCATTAAGAAAATTGAAATACCTTTTCTTAATCTTAATGTGTGTCTATACAATATATAGAAATGCCAAAAACTGACGTTACATTTCTCTGCCATTTCAATCAAAACGGCGACATTTGGTTGAAATGTCACCCCCTTCTCTCTAACTCTTTTTTTTTTTCACGTCCTTTTTATTTTTTATTTTTGTTTGTTATTCTAAATTAATTTATTTTTTTGCATTTTAATCTTTTTTACCTCTTTTTTTTGTCCTGAAATTTTAATTTATTTTTTGTGTTAGTTCTTTTTTTCCCTAAAATTTATATATTCCTTCATTTTGATCCTTTTTTGACCCTTTTTATTTTTGCCATGAAACTTTATTTTTTTGTTTTGGTTCTTTTTTCCCTAAAACTTATTTATTTCTTAATTTTAAACCTTTTTTTTTTTACCCTTTTTATATGTTTCCCTGAAATTTTATTTTTTCATTTGGGTTCTTTTTACCATAAAACTATTTATTTATTCATTTTGGTCTTTTTTTCTTTATCTTAAAATTTTATTTCACTTTCTTTTGCTCTAAAATTTATTTATTTTTTCATTTTAGTTATTTTTTACTCCTTTATTTTACTTTTGCCCCACAACTTTATTTTTTTCGTTTTTGTCCCATTTTGCCCTAAAATTTATTTTTCTCCATTTTAGTCATTTACTAACCCTTTTATTTCCTGAAATTTTTTTTTTCTGTTTTGGTTTTTTGTGCCCTAAATTCTTTTTATTTATTCATTTTAGTATTTTTTTACTTATTATTTTTTTATTTTTATCCTTAAACTTTAGTGCTTTTGTTTTGGTCCTTTTTACCTTCAAATTAATTTATTTTTTCATTTTAATAATTTTTTGACTCTATTTTTAACTTCTTGCCTAAAACTTTATTTTTCACTTTTTTTAAAATTTTATATTCATATTTTATATGTTTTTAATGATGACACGATAATCACACGTGGAGTTTAACTAATAGCTAATAAGAATGGAATCAGACAATGTTATGGGAAAATACGAGACAAATAGTAGATTTTATATTTGGACCAAAGGCAGCGTACGAAACTATAGTACTAGTCCATAAGCCATTGCCATTAAAAGAATAGCATTCGGGAGGTGGGTTTCGTACCATAATTTGAAGTAGATAAATAGGATGAGGATGCAATGCCATTAAGATGTTTGTCGAGGGGAAGAACAAATTTGGTCAGTCAGTGATTTTATAATTTATTAGTTCCATTGTGGGAATTCAATGCAATGTCTTGCTACAACTTGTACTCAAACTATGTCAAAAATTTTCAAAACATGCATTCCAATTAAAATATTATCCTCCTAAGTTGCCACTTCGGAAATAAGATAATATTAATAATCCCACTAATATAATTTATTTTTTGTTTGTTTGTTTTTTTTGCTTAAAAAAACAAGGATGAAATGAAGACACTGCGTGCATATTTTTTTGTTTTGTTTTGATATAAGCGTTAGTTTTGTTAAAACCTCATTCAAACATTTATGAATGATAAATTTGAGGGTCCATTTAGAAGATATATTCAAACTATAATTTTTGATTTTCAGTTTAAAATTTAAAATTTTTATGAGATAAAGTTACTGTAATAGAATCAATAATTTGAATTTGAGTATATAACAAACGGACCCATATTTGGTTAGGATTTCAATTCCGTGATGGAGTCTAAAAATTCAAAATTTTTATGAAATAAAAATACTGTAGCAGAATTAATGATTTGAATTTGAGTATATAACAAACAGACCCGTATTTGATAAGGGTTTCAATTCCGTGATGGAGTCTAATGTAAATGTTAATATTTATCATATTGCGACCAAATGTAGTGGATGTCAAATTCAACAGCAAGCATAGCAATATAATAGAGAATGAGTTTTACATTCAAATATTAAGACATCGTTCATTTCACCGATTTAAATTTTCAGTTCTAGGTTTCTATAGTAAAAAGCTCTCAAAAAATATAACATTTAACTTTTTCTGTTATAGTAAAAAGTTCTCATAAAATGTTACATCTAATCTCGAATTAAAAATTCAAATCCGCGAAGTAAACGGACCATAAAACTCGGTAGTAGCATACTAATTTGGATTGCTCGGAGATGTCGAGATGCTTTTAAGCAGACAGTCATTACTAATTACTAATTGGAGGTTAATTAAACCACTCTTGGTCTAATAACAGATTAATGCCATGGTGAGTCAATCATCAAATAAAAAATGACTTACATCTTTTAAAATATATAAAAAAGTATAAAAAAAATAAAATAAAAAAGACTAACGACACTTGGGAATTAGGAGTTGAGGGACACGACGAGGACGCTATAAAGCCTTTCACGAAAAATGCCAAAATCTCTTTAGTAACTCGCGCGAAAATCCAAAGCAGACCACCCTTGATTATCTTGTCAGGCGCGTTGCCGTGTATATCACATTCCACAAAACTTTTCGCCTTCCTTACCAAAATCGCCCACTCATCTTCCAAATAATTTCATCATTGCCCCTTCAACCACGTTTCAAATTCACGCCTTCCAATTTCCCGATGCTTACTATTTTTCTTTTTAATTCTCATATATTTCTATTTTTTATTGAAAAAAAATCCGATAGTGCATTAACGGAAAAGAAAAGGTAGAGAAGCGCAGAACAGTAACTACACGCTGCGACTAATTAGTTGGAGTGCGTGACACGCCAAATGGAATTTGGGAAAGGGGAGGGCAGTCCTTAGTAAATTCAACCAAAGGTCAGGGGCGTTTTCGTCAATTTATGATTATCTTAATACCGGTTTTATCCTCACGATATTTGCACAGACAGACGGTTGCGCTTCCCCGCTTCTATAAGTAACCCCACCAGAGCCCCACCCCAAGACCCACGCCAGTTTCATTTTTATCCGTTTGAGCTTTTCTTTTCTCTCTCCTAGGGTTTCGACTTCCTTTGTGCTTTCTCTCGAATCTTCTGTCGCTTTATCGTCCTCTTTTTGCTTCAATGGCGCAGCAGGAGGTCCAGAACGGAGGAGCTGAGAAGGTCGCCGAGGCCGTGGCCTTCACGGCGGTGAAGCCGCAGCTGCTGGTCGAAGCTCCGAAGGCCAGCGACGCCGTTCAGTTCTACAAGGCTGCGTTCGGCGCTGAGGAGGCTGGCCGTACACTCCACTCTAAGCGCAAGGCCGAACAAGAGCTCCCTCTCATCCTCTCTGCTGAGCTCAAGCTCGCTGGCTCCACCATTCTCGTCTCCGACGTCGCTGACGACTCCGCTGCACCGTACGTTTCTCTTATCTCGTCCTTGTTTGTTGCATTTCTTAGATCTACTAGCGTGATCAAGCTGTTTTTTCACTTTGATGATTTGAGACTGTTGGTTAGCTCTTTGACGAGTTTCGTTTTACGTATATGATATATCTCAAGCGCTTTCGGTTATGGCCTTTTGGTTTCCATCTAAGACTGTCCGTTTCCTGTACGGACGACTGTTTTTGTTCGTTTAATTTTCTAGATGTATATTTGTGTTTCTAATACCTGTTTTAAAACGTTTTCTGGAAGGTTTTATTGAATATTGTTTCCTTGACTTTAGTTTGATCGTATTTTTTTTTATTTTGTACTTCGTATATTGTATTTATCCTTCTGACTGTGGTTTATGCTTGCGATTCTGGCCTAATATCTTTGTATTTGGAGCACTGTGAATTTTTTGGCCTTTTATTCTTTTATTTTGTAATTTTCTTGTGCGAGATCTGTTCTTGTCTTTTTCTCAACTATTTTTGCCTAATTTTTCTGTCTCGTTTGTCTTCATTGTACGGTCACTCGGTTTTGCTTTTCTATATGTTCAACCTCTTACATATTTGCTGTTATTATTATTATAATAGATTTGTCGTCTTTAGGTTTAACATTATTAATATCTCTTGCTTTTTGGCGTTTGATTTACTCCTTTGCACCAACTCTATGCCGTTTCAATAAGCTTTTTATTACTTTTTTTCCTTTTTTATTTTCGATCTTGTTATTTTTGTTTCGCTCGTTCTCAAATCTTGTTCAAACGCGCAGAGCAAAATCTGCTGGATCTGGTGGCGTGGTGCTCTGCCTGGAGACTCAGGACGTCGACGCTGCCGTCGCAAAGGCCGTTTCTGCCGGAGCTGTTGCTGAGGGTGAGATTGTTGAGGGTGATGGCGCGTGCTGCGGTGGGCGCGTGGGCAAGGTCAAGGACCCCTACGGCTACGTCTGGCTCATCTGTTCCGCAGCGAAGAAGTGTGCGGAGGTGGAAGCCTAGAAGCCGTCGGATCTGATTTTGTCATGAGACTATGTTTTACTGTCACTTTCTTTTGCTATGTTTAGGGAAGCCGTTGTGGGCCCCGTATCAGGAAAAGAAGTCTTTTGGACGTCAGGATTTGGTTAATCATAGGGTTTAGTCTTTATTTTTAATATTCTGAAGGCGATGATGATAATTGTTCTGTCGTTCTTTTTGGACATTTACAATCAACTCAAGACATCTTTTTAACCTACAGCTGGCGCTGTATTTTGACTACACTACTACCATAGATATCCCTGTCTACTTGAAATTTGAATCTCTGTTTTTATCTCTATTCAATTATCCACAAATCTGATCGTTTTTTGATTTTGGCTCAAACGGCGTCATGTGCTCTTTTACGACTCTCACTTCTCAGTCAATAGCCTTTGTTAAGCCAATGGGCTTTTGAGGTCTTTTATGCAGGATTTTATTTTAACAAGTTTCGTCTTGCCTCGTATTTCGACGTGACGCTGCTTTTGATAATGGCCTTCATTGTTTATTGTGTTGTAGCGATAAAATCATGGAATTGTTAATGCATTTTCTCAACGCCTTGTTGCTTCGAAGTGTGCGAAAGTGCCAATTGGGCAGTTTTACAGGATATAAATTGGATGACGAGAGTGGTTTTATTTTGACAATGACAGTGCGCGCGTCGCCAATGAGCACATGACACACGAGTACTGTGCTGCGAACAAAGCTTATGAGGGTTTAGTTTAATATATAATATGTTGAAGGAGGGATGTGGCAATCGTGTGGAGGTGGCCAAGTTCTTGTAACGTGGTCCCCACTAGAGTGGGTAAAAAGATGGGACTTTTATGGAGGGTCAGGGGAAGATATGGGTGGGTTTCTCGTGAGTAGCGTTGCGAGAAGGATGTTTGTTTTTTATATTAGTTTTTTGGAATGAAGATTTATGATTTTTTATAGTATTTTTTTTATTAAAAATATATGTAAAATAAAAATAATTTTAAATTATAATTCAGAATTTATAAATAGATTTTGTTTCTTTTGTGGATTTGAGTTGAGATAAAATTTTAATGTGATATTTTTTAAGAATTTTTTACTGTAAAAATTTAAAATTGAAGACTCGAATCGGTGAAATGAACGAGGTCTAAATGTTTAATAACTGTGGGAAAGGCCCTTTAGAATGAAAAAGTTGTGGGTTTAATTATTGGACTATATTAATTGTTCAATTTAGCTGAAAATTTCCTTTCAGGCTTGTAGTAATTGTTAGAGTACCCTTCTGTTTCTAGAAATTATTTTGACTGACTGCATGATGTGGGGGTTATATTGGTCCTGTTTCTAGAAATTATTTTGATGGAGGTTATATTGGTCCTTCCGCCTTAGGTAGAATTAAAGGACTGCTCCTCCATCGATCTTGGCTGTTTAGATGGAACCTGGATGGCAATATTAGTCGGGGCAAACCTCATTTGAGGGAAACTCGTCAATGGGACAACCGGGAAAAAAAGTGAATTTAAGTCTCGTTTATTTCACCGATTTGAGTTTTTAATTTTAAATTTTTACTGTAAAAAGCTCTCAGAAAATGTCGCATTTAACTTTTTCTACTACAGTAAAAAATTCTCAAAAAATATTACATCTCAACTCGAATTAAAAACTAAAATCAGTAAAATAAACAAGCCATATACGCCACCGTTTAATCTTATAAATGCTTAATCCATGCTACGTTCATTGTTGCGCGTTGCCCAATTGAGGTGTCAATGCATGGTGTCGTGCAATCTTTCTTAGCCCCTTTATTCTTTGTTGGGCTATCTCTTGTTAGACAGCCCACCAAGCATTCTTAGCTTGGCAAAGGGAGCCCTAGACAGATGCCAAAAAATGAAGGAGAATGAAGTCTTGAATTAATCATTGTAGCAACTTATCGTCAGGAGGATTAGCTTGGTTCGTCGTCAAGCCCGGACCGGGTGGGAATCGAAGTTTGGGATGAGCGGTGGGTTCTTAGTTTGGAGGTCAGTTTCAAACTTAAGGCCTAGATTGGCTAAAGCGTGGATAGTGTTTGTTGTTTGACATACCTGTTTGTCTCGAGATGTACGAGGTGGGACATTGATAAGGTGTTTGTTGGAGTCCTTGTGCCAGATAAATCGATGACAAAGGAAGAAGCTTATTTGGCCGACGTTAAGGTTTGCTGTGGATGGCAGATCCTATTTGGAAGATTAAGGTTGGAAGGCTCACATTCATGAAATACACACAAGTTGCTTATTTGGAAGATTGATGTGGATGCTTTTGGCGGTTCGGAGTGGACTGCAAGTGTTTGGCTTTGGCATTGGCATTCCTGTTGAGTTCCTTTCTGTTTTTTTGGGGAAGAAAGTCCGGTTAACTTGTCTGTGGATTATCCATTTGCTTAGGCCATTTGATTTGATCCGTCGTTCTTTTTGGCTTTAGAGGGCAAGACATGCCGGAATGCATACAGTATTGTTGGATTTCATAGATTTGTTGAGCTCAACTGTCTGATTGTAGCTCTACCTTTTAAGGCCTTTTCTTAGATAGGAAAATGAGATAGCAGACCTTAATTTTTCAACCCCACGTAAAAATCTACGGGTCCGTTCGGTTCGCTAATTCGAGTTGAGATGTGATGTTGTGTGAGAACTTTTTACTATAGTAAAAAAGTTAGATGTGACTGTTTCTGAGAGCATTTTACGGTAGCAAAACTCAAATTTTAAACTCAAATCAGTGAAAAGAACGGAATCTATGTGGTAAAAAAAACTTTTTATCATGTAAATTTAGTCGTAAATAAAGAATTTACGAAATAAAAAATCTTTTTATTATTATTTATTTCAAATATTTTAGAATCTGTTATTTTACCTAATTTAGTTTCAAAAAACTGTTATTTACTGCATTATCTGATTATTTACATTCAAGAAAATCTGGGCTTATGGGCTTTGTCCTCGCGTTGTATCCAATAAGCCTCTTGTAATAAATAAAAGCCGACGACCAGCAGTAATCAAACTATAGAGGGGGTGTAATTGCAATTGAAACCTTTTCTTGAAGAGGGAAACATGTATTACACAACAGAAATCCAAATTGCACACCACAAACAAAAGGACGCGTACAATATTTCACAAATACAAATACACCAACGGTGTAACGATTGTTACAAACTTAAAATAACATGACATAAAAGAAAAATATAATGGAGCCGCAAATCACACCATACTTGTAACACATGTATCATTAAACCCAATTGCAGCACACACCAAGAGGAAGTACTCGGTTGTCACACACCTGAAAGCAGACAAATTAAGCACAGAGAACAATTAAAACCCAAAATTTCATCAAACTCAAATAATAATCTACTAAAAATTAATGGTATCTCTCCTTTCGGGCAACTAGCGTTTTTACCTTCTTAATCATTTCGTTAAATGATTCATGGCGTTTACATAGAGAAGGTTCTTTTTTTTTTTTTTTCCTTTATATTCACACAAAGCAAGCGTTAAAGATGCAAATTTCAGTGCTTGTAATTAGGCCACTATATATAGCGGAATCCTACTTAGCAAGTGACAGTAATTGTCTGTTCTACGAGTAAAACTACCTAGCCTAGCTGCTCGAAATTTTAACTTAGTACGTACATCATCAAAACGATTAAACCAAAGACAACTAAAACTTATATACTCGTGATGATGTAACAAGTATTCTTTAATAAACTTAGACAAACTTGGACATGATATAAAGTACTTGCACTAATTATACACTCATATTCTTCTCACACATGAACATTCTACATATTTAAGAAAAAAAGATACGTAGTATTATTATCATTATTATACCTTGATTAGCAACCGGGTGGGGGAGTAAGATTACACTTTTTGGGCAGGGCCATGGCGAGGTCGGGATCAATCCCTAGAATAGGCAGGAACGCAGAGTTCTTGAACTGACAAAGGCAGACCAAGTCGGCCTTCTTGAGAGCTTCGCAACACGCTCCGGTGGGGTCGGCCGGGTTCGGGGCTGTCACAGCCGGCCTGCAAGTGTTCAAATCCTGGTCGGTCAATTTACACAAGTCTTGCCCTCTAGACCCCTCGAACAAAAACCCAAACATTGCCACTAGAACCATAACCACGGCCAGCTTCCGCGATCCCAGCTTGATCATCTCCATGTTCGATATGATGTATGATCCTAATTAGTAACTATTTTTTTTTGATTGCTTCTACGTACTTAGCCTAGCTTAATTAGTTTTTTCTGTTTTCGTGGTTGTGGAATTCTCACAACTTTTATGTGTGTGTATATATACACAGAATGTGAGACAATGGGGCTAGCTAGGAACCACAAGTTTAACACCCGTGAAGGAGAATTGGCGGTATTTGGTGTCACGGGAAGTTCTATTGGTCCACTTTGTTCATTCATATCTTATCAATAGTGAAAAAGAATATTGGTTTTGTACTTGGCTTTTTGAGAATAGTTATTATATATTTGTAATGATAAAGTAAATTACGATTGATAATCTGTACTGCAATAGAATTAAAACGATGCATATTTGCACATTGTTAGGTCCGTTTTTCAGTCGGTGTCATAAAGAGTGTTATAACACTTTTTATGACAGAGAATCTAAAATTAAACCAACAAAGCAGTAAAGCAGGAAACTAATGCAAAAACGTAAAGGACACCAAAAAATGGTATCGCAGTTCAGTGCGCACACCTACTCTGCGGAGCCACGCCCAAACAGTGATCAATCCACTAAGTTCAAAAGATTACAAAGGATTGAACGGTCTTACACACTCAACGACTCCCTCCTTGACGATGTCTCGGTTGTCTAGAATCTCCTTAGAAAGCTTGATCAGCGAGCACCACTCGACTTGTCGGTTTCCTCCCGAAACCAAAGAAATCTTCTCCCAAAGAACCAACTCGAAAGTGTTCTAACAATTCGTCGCAACACATCAAGCGACACTTAACATTACAATCTCATTCTCACGTGAACAAATGCAACTTTTCAATTTTCAACTCTGTATCTACATAACACGTTCTGCCCTCATATCAAAACCCTTATACCACTATCTTTTTCGTCACACAATCACGAGCAAGAAAGAAAAAAGTTACTGCAGTATATCTGCTATAAATATAAAGTATACTGATTTCCCAGCTTTAACCTCATTCTATAATTAGAAGGAAACAAGACTCGTGAATAGATTTGAGTCCCCAAAAATTTTTAATATTTCTTTGTAATTATGCTTATTGAAGTTTGGAGAAGATGCAGATTTCGATGGCTTTTCATTAGTAATCATCACTCTATATATCCTGCCCAAATCATACCAGTTGGCGAGTTCGGATTTGCAGTTTATACATGCACACCCACACGATTTCCAATGTTAATCCATGAGTTTTGCTTATGACAGTCTAAAAATTCCAAGAATTTTTTTCTAATGAATTAGTGAGAAGTTATATATATATATATATATATATATATATATTCCACCGAATGATAATAAAAACAAGAAGAAAAGAACAGCATCAGAATCACAAAAATCACTCTGCAAAAGGATTTCTTAGCGAAACGAGACAAAGTTAGAACAACTAATACGCCCAAGATCACACGTTAGAAGAGAGAAGCAACCGCCACAAGAAACAAACAACGAAAGCTAGCCAGCTAATTTAAAGTTAGCTCAACTTCATTAAGTGTGAGAGAATAAAGAAGAGAAAAAGGATGAAAAACGACTACTCGTTCGTAATAAGAGAGTAAGACAAACCGTCATGATATATATAATAAGACTACTGCGTCAAACGAAGAAGGAAACACAGTCGTACGAAATAATGAACAGTCAACAAATTTTAAAAAAAGAAAAGTCCTTTTGCATTATGAACAGTCACTTTCGTTGAATGAAAAAAAAAAAGAAAAAAAACCCAGTATATCCGTTCAAATTGTTGAGAATGTAAAGAGAGATATGATATTATCGCCATCCTTTGCATGCATGCATGATCTGCGCAAAGCAACGTTCAAAATTTTATACTCCCTATATACTCAAAACCTTTCAAGAATTAGGAAATTAATTTTCAAATTTGCTTATAAAAGTGTAACGATTAACGAATGTTTGTTGCTTTCTCTCTCCCTATCCATAATGATTAAAGAATATTGTTCCGTGAGTCCATATAATTGGTGTGTGCTTATGATCAAGCAATAGTAATCCATCAAGTATAGTATTACTCTTTAGACTGTATTAAGATTAATCAGGATACGACGTTCATTGCTAGTCCATATTTCAAATAATATATATATTAATATTGGAGAGCATATAAAACAAGTTTAGAACGATTGATAGTTCTCAAAACATTTTATTACTGATTCTAAATTGATTTACCTGTTGTTTCGTTGTCCAAAACAAAAATTTCATTTCTTATGGTCCCCTTAAAAAAAATTCCATTTCCACGTCTATATCATATACCAAATACTAGATAATTGATGTTCGTGCTCTGCTTTGAACTTTGCCACCCGGTTTTTCAACGTGTTTAGGTCATCTAATGTTGTGGGTCATAACCAGTTGGTTATGAGACCCCTGCTTTGGTCTCGGATTATGCTTGTTCTGTTTGATCAACCAACGCATATACCTTTTTCTCTCTTTCTTTTTTTTTTTAATTTTTTTAAATACGAGATAATTAACTCCTCTGTAATTATACTATGTACCAAATGTAGTGCATGCGTATAATTCTTTACAATCTAATCTGAGGGCATCCTAAAATATACTATAATCATAGCCAATCATCCAAAAGAAAGCATCCAACTCATGTATATTCTTAAACATTGCTTTTTGTCCACATGATAAAGCCATATTTTCTAAATCAACTTGTCAATTGTATAACAGGCGGTGACAAGGAGTTTTCAGGCGAAAAAGAGAGAAAAAAAGGAAATGATAAGGATAGATGATTATGTACTGGAATCAGTTTTCTTGCACATATAGCCCAGCCAAATAGTGAGAAAGCTCAAGAATCTCAGAGTCACAAGATAAGTCCCGATCAGCAGTATCGACTTTTTCTTTTTCTCCTGAATATTTGTTAAACTTCCTCATGGGTTGTTCGGCTACTTTTTTTTTTTTTTAATCTTAGTAAATATACAAGTTTTAAGGCCCCGTTCTTTTCGCTGATTCGAGTTTAGAATTTGAGTTTTGTTACAGTAAAAAGCTATCAGAAACAGTCACATCTAACTTTTTCACTACAGTAAAAAGCTCTCACACAACATCACATCTCAACTCGAATTAACGAACCGAACGGACCCACTATTTACAGTAACGGAATTACTATTTGTTTTATAGATTTGAACTAATTATCAAATCTTTTTATTATAATATTTTCTCTTATAAAATTTAAATTTAATTTTATTTAAACATTGTTTAAAGTTTAAACTTATAAAATAAACAACTCTGGGCCTCGTTCATTTCACTGATTTGAGTTTTCAGTTTTAAGTTTTCACAATAAAAAATTTTAAAAAAATATCACATCTAACTTTTTCTGCTACAGTGAAAAACTCTAAAAAAATGTCACATCTTAACTCAAATTAAAAATTTAAATTCGCGAAATGAACGGAGGGCTAATTGGTAGATGTTTTTCATTTCAAATTGTGTATATATCATAGCATAACATTCGCATTATTACCTAGTGCAGAAGTTTGAGCCTTGAGGGAGAGAAAATGTAAAATTCTGTGCCAGTCCAGTGCAACTTCCAACCAACCAACCGGCCGGATCACCTTCATCTTCATGAAGTTCTAATTCCCTAGGTTAAAGAGGGGAAAAAAAAAAGAGAAAGAAAAACATATAAAACACAATTATCGAAGCAAAATTTTAAAATTCAAGCTCAAAACCCAATGGGGCAGACCTTGTCTCCAAATGTCGTCAATACGGGTGGAAACAGTTACATTTTGATTTTCTAATTCGTTGTTTAAGATATATATATATGGAAATAATTGTTTTACCTAAGATGATATTTTTTCAATGCAACAATGATTTTGAAAATGGTAGTAGCTTAATTTTGATTTTAAAGAAAAAAAAAGCCTAATTTTGAAAATGTATTAATCAAAAGCCTATTTTTGTCTCAGATTAATAGCATATTTCTTTAATATTATTATGTAAAATAAATAGTATGCTACACTTCTTAGGTTACAATGTGATTGAAGGAACAAATATTTCTAATTTCTCTTCTTAGCATGATACAAATAAAATATTAATTTTATTTTTCCATAAAAAATTATAAATTCTTCGTGTTTTTTTGTTTCTTGGCCGTGACGTTTGTTGCACTACCAAGTTTAATAATGACTGAAAAGACAGGAAATTCAACATGCTGTTACACACTGTTTAAGTTGACCCTAAGGACTGACACATGAATTAAATTAACCTAAATTTTACTCGGCATAGTTCAACTACATAATTCAAAATTATTCTTAATTTATGTGTATTTTTTATAAAAAAAATACTGTAATAAATTATAAATTATAATTCAAATTAAAACACAAATTTTTGTACCAAACACCTATTTAGGGCCCGTTTAGTTCATTAATTTGAGTTTTAAATTTGAGTTGAGATGTGATTTTATATGAGAGTTTTTTACTGTAATAAAAAAATTAACTATAACAAAACTTGAATTAGTGAAATAAACAGGATCTGAGACGTTTAATAAGGGGATTCATACCATGATTTGAATCATGATTTATAATTCGTTTTAGTATTTTCTCTCATAAAAAATATATATAAATTAAAAATAATTCTAATATCGTGATTCTAATAAATGAATTAAAGTTTCACTTTACTTTTGATCCTGATCACCTTGTAGCAATTCCGTGGATTGATTTACTCGTGTGGTAAGTTAAAAAGAGAGAACCAAAAAAAAAAAAAAAAGAAAAAGCAGAGAGAAAAGAAAAGCAGAGCAGAGGCTAGCTAACTAATAAGAGTATTACCATTTAACCAGGAGTTATTCATACAGAAAGAGAGAGAGTTGTTTGTTGCTTCGAGATTGAAGAAAACTCTTGAGAAAAGAAGCGATGAGTCTTTATTACCATGCTTTGGAATATACAATACAATATGAAATATCTATATCTGTATATATCTGATCAGCGACAAACTAGGCAAAGCTAAGGCCCTGATAAAGCTAAAGTTGAGAACTTTGAAAAGTAAACAAGAGGGTAAAGTACTACTGCCCTTCTCTCTCTCTCTCTCTCTCTCTCTATCACATACCTTACCTTACCTCTTTGTCGCTCTGTCTGTTACTTGTGAAACTTCGTTATTTGGGTTACTTTCTTTTTACCAACACCACCCACTAGCAGTTGAATTTTCTTTGCTTTAGAACCCTACACCCCTACTTTACCCCTATTCTCTCTCTCTCTCTCTCTCTCTCTCTCTCTCTCTCTCTTCCCTTCTGCCTTTAAAAATTGGTGAAAACCCACGCTTGCAAACCACCAGAAAGACTCAAGGAAAGAAACAAAGGAAAGATAACCCCATTTCTTTCTCTCTTTCTTTTTTTTTTATAATTTCTCCCAGGTCAATCTCTTAAACAACGGAAGTTCTCTCCCATATCTCATTTTGCTCAATATTGCTTCTTCTTCTTCTTCTTCATACTCGATGGAAGTAAGTAAATATTTAAGCCCAGTTTTCCTCGTTACACTCTTGCCACAATGTTTAGTACATCTCTTCATCTTTGAAATTAACTTGTTTGTTCTTTGGTTGGGTAATATTATAGGAGTACAGGAGGGCTCATCATGTTCCGGCATTTGGGAGCTGGGATTGGAACGACGACGTTCCATTCACTCAGTGCTTTGAGTCTGCCAGGGAAGCTGGCATTTTCCGCTATAGTTACTCTGAAGATCGTGATTTGTACGTTACTGGGGATTTATATGAGAATGATGTCGTCACACCCGCCATGATTGTCGTTCCTCGCCGAAGGGTAAGCCCCACACACACACATATACATATATATACATATAAATATGTGTCACCATTACTTCATGGCAGGAATGTTATGTTATTTCTTCTATGAATATGTTTGTTCACCATTTATGATGTGCATGAACACAAATGTTAAAGATTTGTCATATATATAAGAGATTCATTCCCATGACCACCTTTTTTTTCTAATTAATTTTGGTTCTGAGAGTAGAATAGATGAGAAAAATTTGGGAAAGCTTGAAGCTGGAAAAGGAAAAAAAAAAAAGAAAAGAAAAGGAAACCCCACACGGCTAACGCCAAACTAAAGTTCCATTGAGAAGTGGAAAAGTAGTTTTAGTGTGCCTACAATGATGAAGCATGGATCGTTTTTTTTTTTTTTTTTTTTTCTTTCCATGATTTTAGCTTTTGCAATTGCTTTTGCCTAACAGTCAACAGTGTAGAAGGCGCACATAAAAAAGAAAAAAAAAGGATGAAAAAAAAAGTCACCAATATTTAATAGTTGAACTTTGAGTGATGAATGGTTGCTTTCCACTCACCAAATGTCACGTGACAAAGAATGTCATAGAAGAGGGAATGAGAATGAGAATGTGACCAAATTGTGTTGGTGATGATTGCAGACGAAAGTACGCGACCCGCATGTCAAAGAAGCTAAACACCAAAGTAATTGGGTCACCGATGATGCAAAGGAACCGCCCAGTCCCCCTCCTGTTCACAGGCCAACACCAAAACCAGTAGATGAAGATCTCTACAAGATATCACCTGAACTCCTCTATGGCAAACACAGAAAGGTAAAAAAAAAAAAAAAAACAAGAAAATAAAATAAAAAAATAGTTTTATTTTGATCTCATTCATTTTACCGATTCAAGTTTTCAATTTTAAATTTTTACAGTTAAAAATTTTTAAAAAATATCACATTTAACTTTTTCTATTACAATTAAAACTTATCAAAAAATGTCACATCTCAAAATGAAAAAGTATTTTTTCCAGATATGGCATCTAGCGTGTGTACTTTTATAATTCTTTTCCAACATTGTTGCATTTTCAGTGAAAACATTGGTGTACTTTTTTAATAATATGATCTGTAAGTGTTTAATTTAAAAATTTAAGCGCATGAAACAAATCTACCCCTAATAAAAATTGTAATTGTTAAAAAATTAATGCGCCGAACCGAGCACTCCCTACCAACGGTGAAAAGCACAGTTATTACTTTTAAAACTCCTTAAAAAACAAATCTTATTCTTGTAATGATGGTTTTATTTATTTTTATTTTTTTGTTTGGTTGCAGAAGAGAGGGCTGAGTTTCTTTTCAAGCTGCTTATTGCCTTCTTGTATTGCGTGAGCAGCGGAGATTTGATATAGAGTACTTATTTATTGTTGGGACTTACTACGTACATAGATAAAAGAGAATGTTAGATGTATGAGGTTGTCTTTTATGTGTATTGAGTTCAATTGCTGGAACATGGTTGGTCCAAAAATATTCTCACCAGTCATTTTTATGTGATTGTGATGAGGAGAGAGGATTAAAACTACCTTATAGTCAAGTACTACTCGGAAGTATATTTGGGTCTTTTTCCTTTCTTTTGGAGGTGCTTGTATCTTTTGGATCTTTATAGTGTTGACAGAAGAGAGGGGACACTATTTTGATATAAAGCCTTGTAAGAAAAGAAGAAAGGGATTTCCTTTCATGTGAATGTGGGGTTTAATTTGAATATTCTTTTTTTTTTTTTGGGTGAAAAAAAAAATCAAAAGGAAAAGTGGGGTTGGTTGGTTTAAAAAGGCCAGCATAAGCCATAAAAGATAAAGGGGATCTCATCACTCATCAGTATGGTATGAATATTTTTTTCTTCCATACTGGAAGAAAGAAAGTGAAAAAATATGAAAATGAAAGAATTCTCTTCCTCAGTCATTCACACATCGTTTATTTTACTCGATTCGAGTTTTGTCAAAAAAAAAATTTTAAAAAATAATAACATTTAATTTTTTTATTATAATAAAATTACATTTTAATTTAAATTAAAAATTTAAATCAGCGAACTAAACGGTCTAAAAATTTAGTTGGTTTAAAAGGCTAGCATAAGCCATAAAGGAAAAGGGGATCTCATCACTCATCAGTATGGTATGAAAATTTTTTTCTTCCATACTGAAAAGAAAGAAAGTGAAAAAAGATGAGAAGGAAAGAATTCTCTTCCTCAGTCATTCACCTTCACTAAATTTTAAAACCAATGTGATTATGATTGTGTTTGTGCCACATAAGACGTGCACAAATAGAAAGTAAGGCTAGCTGTTTAGAAAAGCTATTCACGTATTTGAAAAAAAAAATATTCATGTTTTTTCAAAAACAATTAATATGTAAAAAAATGTAGCCGAAGATCCTTTGGTATAGTTACATGACTATGAGAGGATTGGGAAGGACTTTAGGTGGAAAATTGTAATCTTTATTTCTTATTTACATGATATATGATATAACATATGCTTCTTTATCTTAACATGTATACTATACATGCAAATATATATACGTATGTTGCTTAATTTCTATTTTTAAAAATGTCAAAATAGTACATCAATAATATTTAAAAATGACTTTTATGTACTTTGAAGCAAATTTTTAGGACCTAAAACATCCATTCTACATTTTAAGTTTTAGAAAGACATCCTTTCTACATTTTCGTTTTCAATTAATTAATTTTGGCTTAATTTCTGAAAACGTAAATATTTAAAAATAAAAAATTTCAAAAAACAGTTATAGACTGATAGAAGACCTGCTGGAGTTCAATGTAACAACTGCTCCAACCCACAGGAAACAATTCATTTATTAGAATTCTTCGTTTAATTTGTAGCGTCATGATGTTAGTTTTCAGCTTTGATGTCGTTTATAGTTCATAAGACTCTGTTATATCTTCTTTGTTAATTGTTATATGACTTTTTTATATCTTAAAATGCTATGAAAGTACCATCTTAACTCCAACCATTTCTTTTCTTTTTAATAGTAAGAGATTTGGCGTTTTGGCCCATTTCGATTGTGGTAAGAGCAACCGGATAAACGGTCGAAAATATGGGAGAAATAAAGGTCCGTTTAGTTCGCTGATTCGAGTTTTTAATTCGAGTTGAGATGTGACTTTATGTGAGAGTTTTTTATTGTAGTAAAAAAGTTAGATGTGATTATTTGTGAGAGCTTTTTATTGTAAAAAAACTCGAATCAGCGAAATGAACAGAACCTTATGATATAAATTAAGGTCTCTTACATTTTATTGATTTTGAGTTTAAAATTTAAATTTTATTATAGTAAAAATTTTTTAAAAATAATTACATCTAATTTTTTTATTACAGTAAAAAACTTTAAAAAATAATTATATCTAATTTTTTAATTATAATAAAAATCTCTCATATAAAATTATATTTAAATTTAAATTTAAAATTTAAATTAATAAATTAAACGAATTATCAAGTACATTTCTGTCGTTTTGCTATGGCAATCCACTGAGTACATAGGATTCAGTTTCAGAGATGAATTATAACTGATAATAGCAACTCTCGTGACTCTTTTTTCTCTTTTCTAATTTCGACGCTTTTGAGACGACATGTCTCTTTCTCCAAAGTTGGATCGCACGTTGGACAAAGAAAATAGTGTTAATTACTAATTAAAGTGCAAAAGGAAAAGAAAAAGTGGATGATTATAAAGAGATTTAACATGGCACGACATTTCCTCCTTAAGAACTGGTTAAGCCTTACCCCGTAATATTTTATGATTCGTTTTTTTTTTTTTTTACCTCATTTTTTCGCTTTGTGGGCTCGGTAAAATATCGGTAAGATATGCTTCTTCCCCTAAAATTCTGAAGAAACCAAAAATCAGGAGAACGTAGAGAAAATATCATGAAACTTCAAAAAGAAAAATGAAAAAAATACAGTTAGATTTATTAGCGGTATATTTTTAATGGATTCAAATCACCTATTTAATTTTAATATTTTAATTAGCGTCATATCAATTAAATTATGTCACGTCATTTAAAAAAAATTGAGATACCTTTTAACCAAGTTTTCTATACTTTAATGTTTAGATTTATTAAATGACATGTAATAAGGTTATTAGTTAAATACTCATTGAGACACTAAAAATTAAACATGTGATTTGAATCGGAAAGAAAAGGAGAAGAAATTTTTTTTTCTTAGTCGTGTTTATTTATTAATGAACAAGCTAAAAATGTAATTTTAAATTCTAAAAAAATAAATAAGAACTTATTTTTTAATGAAAGTAAAAAACATTTCATTAATCAACAAACCATGAAGCTTACAGAGAATTCAAAACAGAAAACTTAATACAACAAATCAAAGGTAAGAGATCCGTTGGCGTCATAGTACATTGATCTAAGGTCCGATAATGGACACAATTTGTAGCACTTCTCTTGACTTGTTTAATTCTCCCTCTACGGTTGGCTCTCGCGAAAGGGTTGTAGCAAACTCTTCGCAAAGATCGATATCTGAAAGCCACTATTCTTATAGATTAAGCTCGCTGAAGTGGGAGATATGGCTAAAGACATATAGAAGATAAAAAACAACACAAAACCCACACAAGGTTATAACTTAGTGGGGAAACACAACAAAAATAACCAAAGCCCACACATATCTAGCGATTTGTAGGGAACACAAATACTAATACTGGCATAATCTTATTTTTACGCATAACACACTTTTCAACATCTTACTATTTTGTTTTTTAATGAAACGATAAACATACAATTTAAACATGATTATTCTTTTACTAATAAAAAAAAGAGAACCAATAATGTTCTCACGCGCTTACATCTCTAATCTAATAGTTGCTTGACAATCTACTAAATTCATGTATAATGAAAAGAAACTTAACTCATATTTTTATTAACTAGCATTCATAAAATTCAAAAGCATATTAACTATCAGGAATTGATAGTCATATTAAGCCACACCCTACTTTCATCCTCACAACCAACAATGCGAATTGTTGATTGATGATAAAAGATAGAGTCCTAATTGATCATCTTTCATCACTATACCACTATTATTAGTGCTTTAAAATTTATAAGTTGAAATCATAATTTAAACCTTTCTGTTAAATATTTTTGCTCATAAAAACTTACGTTTCTCAAAAAATTTATAAACCAAAAACAACAATATCAATTCAACTTGATTCTGTATTATCTTAATTGTATAACTTTATGGAAGAAATAGGGAAATAGGCCAAGATTTGAGATGAATTAAAATTAATAGGCCAATAATTTACATAAGTTAATAAATAAGCTAAATTACTATTTTCGTCCATAACTTGTTTGGTTATTAACCATAATTTAACAAGTTATTGTCCATAATTCACGGTTTTTGTATATAACTTGTCTGGCTATGAACCATAATTTGACAAGTTTGTCCATAACTTATCTGGTTATGAACCATAACTTGACAAGTTATGGCCTATTAATTTCTATAACTAAAAATTGGCCTATATACTTTCTTAAGTTTTTCATATTGGCCTATTTCCTACTATTTCTGTAACTTTATTTGAGTTGGGCTCTAATCGTATTGACGCGTTATAGCCTAATCACCCTTTTGAAGTCCGAACTAACTGTAGATATATTTTTCGTTAGCAAAAAAACTGCAAATATATATTAACTTTTAAAAAATAAAACAAAAATACTACATAACAGATATATCAGGAGAAGATAGGCTTCAGAGAGCAAGTGAAAAGGAAAAATCCCTAGAGACAGCGGATGGGGATACATTCTAAATTCTATATGTGCCCAAAAAGTAGTTTACATTTTTTTGACAAATTACACTCGCCCCCCCTGAACTATTGGCGAAGTAACAAAATACCTCCTAAAGTTTAAAAATAACAAAATTTCCTCTTAAACAATTCACTGTTAGCACGCGTCCCCCTTTTCTACCCCCTCGGTTAAATTTTGAACGTCAAGTGACACATGGAAGTCGCTGAGGCATTTAATTTTTATTATATTATGAAATGACGATTTTGTCCATCCAAGCCTAGCCGTTGACCGGTCAAACTCGCCGTTGACTGGCATTAACCCGCCCAAAACTTAGGAGTTTTGTTACCTATGATCTTTTGAGCATTTTTACATCAATATCACGAAGATTCAACCATTGGATCGTCAGAACAACCTTTCACCACCACGGATCTGGTGATTCGAGGTCGTGTGATGTAATTGATCGAGGGCTTTTGATCCACGTCCCACTCTAAAGTTAACTAGCCCGGCGGTGTCACTCACGGTGGTTGGAATGGCGGAGATCGGCGGGGACGCGATGGCCAAACTTCCCAGCTACGGTGACGGAGCTCCGCTGAGAATCAAGAGGTGCTGCTAGTGTCGTTTTCTTCATCTTGTCATTCTAAGTCTAAAGAAACTGGAATCACCTCAATCGGAGGTCGAATGAGGAAGTTATCACAAAGGGAAGAAATGAGTATTTTTAGCTCTTTTTTCAGTGAGTGTAACGGCTACCGGCTGAGTTGGAGGTCCTACTACATGTCGTGTTGCTTAGCTCGTCTAGAGCTTCACGATGGTGAGGGAGGTGTTGAAAAATGATACCGGAATCTTGATCGGAGATAATGACCGGTTGTTGTAGAGAGAGAAGGAATCTTCATAATTTAACTAATTACACTTTCAAATTAAGTCTAGTCTTGCTTATCATTAAAGATAAGCATCCCGGTCAATGCTGGTCAACAATTGGACTTGGATGAGTAAAATTGTCATTTTATAATAAAATAAAAATTAAATATCTCAGTGACTTTTACATGTCATTTAACGTTCAAAATTTAATCGAAAGAACAAAAAAAAAAATACATACTAACGACAAATTATTCATAGAAAAAATTTATTATTTTTAAACTTTAAGTGACATTTTGTTAGTTTGTCAATAGTTCAGGAGGACAATAATTTGTCCTTTTTTGTGAGCTTAGATTTGAATTTTATTTTTATAAATTGAACTTTTATCAATATTTAATAGGGTATTCACAATATCAAATATCATATGGTATTGGACCGCCATGTCCCTGTTTTTTTTTTGTTTTTTTGACCTTTGTTGAGAGAACCATTAATATTGGACCACTTGCTTGTACGGCTTTTACTATCCCTGAACATAAAAAGCGATTCGCTAAGTTCACATGTGTCACATCCCTATGCGTTGCATGCATGAGCGTGTTACCTTTTCATTGGCCTCCACTCCACTCTTCTCTCTCTCTCTTACTGAAGAGAGAGAGAGAGAGAGAGGGAGTGTGATGACATACATGATAACATTCTCTCAGTACTAATCGGAATATCTTTTATATCCTCAGTCCCATTCGCATCAGCTGTTATTCTTTCGCAGCCATATCATTAGCGTTTATCCACTTTCCACATTTAAAAAAGGTGTTCATCTTCCTTAAGGAATCTTAACATAATTGACATCAGATCCTTCCTTATATATATACATGTGTGTCTGCCAATAATTTGTCAACAATCTCGTTTTCCCGTCCTTTGAATTTTAACTTTTCTTGTTCCCAGACCTCGAAATTTTACATCCAAATTTCAATGCAAAGGGCGATGCCTACTGATATGAAGAACCTGCCCAATAATAACTCCTTAGCCTTCACTCTTTGGTTTTTTTTTTTGTTTTTGTTTTGTTTTTGTTTTATGTATGGTTGTTTATATTTTGATCCTCGTCTTAATTGTTCTGTTTCTTTCTTAATTATACGTATGAAATATGTGTATGGAATAAGAAAGTGCATTTGTTTCTAATTCCTGAATTTTGGGATTTAAAGATTAATGATGTGGGATCCATAATTTTTCATTGTTCCTTTTCGGTCACCCTTTCTTTTCTTTGGTGTGTTAATTGGGTGATACTGATTTCGGATTATTTGCAATTTAGCATTGATCTCTCTGAATCTCTTTTACGCTTTTCTTAGTTTTTTCCCTTAATTACTTTTGCTCTTCTACAAAAAAAAAAAAAAAAAAAAAAAAAAAGGGTAATGAGATCTAATTATGTGGCTATTCAAGAAAATAAGGAGAAAAATAATGTTAGGGCCTTACTTGGAATTTCATTTGAGATTTTAATCATTTGACTGAAAAACGGGGATGTGAAATCTGTACTAATTTCTTTGTCATAGATCAGATGTTTGTTGCAAAATGGAAACATTGGATATTTCTAGCTGTACATTTCCCTTTCTTTTCCTCGTTTTCGTATCTTATTAGCAGAAAATGTGTCCATATACACGTGTATACTATATATTTTTTTTCTTGCGGTTCTCCAGCATATCAAAAATATCAACCATGACACACTTGTGGTTCTCCTTCTCTGTCATTAAAAGTTTTTCCCTTTGTTCCTTTTCTCCTCTTTTTGGCTTCTTATAATTGTTCTTTACTATTATTCTGCAGGTGTGACAAGATGAAGAAAGCGCAAACTCTAGAAGATGGACTTGCAAGAGCACTAATGCAGAAGAAGATTGCGAAAAAAGTTATCTCGTCGGTCGAGAGCAATAAACATAATGATTCTTCAGAAAAGATTATGGCAGAGAGACCTAAATCAGCAGCAGCAGATCATATAACGTCGTCGAAAAAAGCTTGTATTTGCGCACCAACAAACCACGCAGGCTCATTCAGATGCCACCTCCACCGAACCAAGAATATCGTGTCGTGCACTTTACAACAAGACAGAGACGACGACAACAACAAGAAGAGTAACGGTCGTGAGAAAAGCAGTGTCCGTACAATTGGTGATGGCCAGGCCAGGCCAGGCCATTGACAATGGCCTCATCAAAGCCTGAGAAAGTCAAGTGAGGAGTTTTTGGTCTTTTGGGGTTCTCCATCCCCTTGTAAATATAAGAATTAATCTCCCTCGTTTTTTAGCTATTGGAAATCAATCCTTGGAAGAGTATGTTCCTTTTCACTGCACTTTTTGTTTTTTGTTTTTTTGTTTTTTTGTTTTTTGTTTTTTTGTTTTTTTTTTTTTGTATAAATTCCCCTAATAGAAGTGAGTAGTTTCATCCCAAATGGTTTTTTGATTTCTGAGTGCCATTTCATCGTGCGAATTTCATCTTTGTTTTATTTGTATTATCTCTGTTTCTCTTTTGTTCCTTTTCCTGGTTATTTTTTTAGAATCTTGTTCATCACAAGATTCACAACTAGTTAAGTCGGGATGTCTTGTATTTTTGTTATTCTTTACGTTCATCTCTCGAATCGAGACAAAAAATGATGTGCGATGGAATAAGATGCCACTCGAATGGGGATCACAAGTACATCGTAGAAGGCATTCATAGAAGGCTTTTCCATGGAGATTTCACTTTTTTTTTTTTTTTTGTTGATATTTTTTTTTTTTTTTTTTTTTTTTTTTTTTTTTTTTTTTTTTTGCTCGAGAAAATTTGACAGCTTGTTGATATTATTTATCTATGTGATTGTGGAGGATATAATGGGTGATGATTAGGAGTGGAAGGAAAGGTACATGTACACTGTCACGTTGACGTAATACGCTTATCACAAATGAATTATTTGATTTAATTCTCAAGATTCTAACTGTCAATTTATAAAAGAGTGCTTAATATCCAAACAACCTCAAGAGTTGGAAAGCGTTATTTCTATTAACTGATAAGCTATAAGAATTAAGAGGGCATTTATTAACCTCTAAATAAACCACACCCACAAAATAGAACGTTATTGGTCTTTAAGATTTTGTTTTATCTTTACAATACAATGATTCAACACACATAGAAACCATAAAAGACATATATATGTATACATAAATAAATAAATAAAAGGAAAGGAAAAAAAAAAAAAAAAAAGTATGGATCAGGAAACTTGCAACGCTCTGACTCGGGCAGTTAACTCTCTAACTCGGCTCCTCAAGCGTTCAGGATTACAAAAGAAATCCACAAAAACCCGTCGCTGAAGCGCAACCTCTTGGGAATGATGTTTCACAATCTGCATTCCAGAGTAGATTATGTACATAAACATATATAAAGCTATAAAAGGTCCAAGTCTAAGTAGGGAAAATGCTACAAGGTAATATAGGTAAAAGCAACCGGGAAAAGTAAATAACCCATCCATTTTGTTACTGTACAGATCTTCTAAAGACTCCTTTATCAAACGAGGACAGTAAAGGAAACAAAGAAAGATTTACCTCACTCTTCTTACAGTGCTCGAGTGTGACCTCCTCGACCGCAGCAGAGAGTTTTGCATTTATCTTTTCCATTTCATCAAGCTCTTTCATTAACGGCTGGTGAAGATATTAAGACAAAGGGAAAAGACATTATATTATAGTATCGGAAAATAAAATTTTCAAGCAAGAAAAAAAAGTTTTGAGGGAAACATTAAGGGTGCATTATTATGCAGGTGTCTTTGTGATCAAAATTTTCTAAACAGCATCATAGATGATCATATTAATACTACAGTGATCATATTTTGTTCTATTTATCTTTACACAAAGGAAGACTTCTCGTAATTATAGATTCGACTAATTACCAGCCAAATCCTATATTAGTTTGGGAAAAAAAAAATCAACATCTGTCACTGGAACAGAACACGATTCTAAAACTGATCTAACAAGGTAGTGGTAACTGGAATTGAAAACAGTGAGTCGAGAACAGTAAAGATAAGCTAATGGGGAAGGTTTGTACCCTAGGTGTCAACATCGGTTGTGCCGTAGTTGAAGAGGCAAAAAGTAATTGCTGTAAACTTTGAATAAAAGTGCACCTGATACAAATAAACCAGATGAATTATTTTAAGGCATGTTCATTTATCGTAAGACATGGTATTACAATGATGAGTAGGGCAACTTACAGCTCATTTATACATCTATTTCTGTCCTCAGGAAGGGAGTTTTCAAGATCAGACTGAAGGGTCATCAAGTCAGATTGAAGACTAGATATCTGCTGGACGATGCCTGGAGCTGAGACGTATGTTGATAACCCAGCTTGAGCATCTAAAAAATGATATATAAGCAAAAAAATTTATGTTATATTCTAATGAAAAACCGTTAGATGAGTAATACTGGTTATCTAACTATTGAAAGTACCGTCATTACTTGAATGTAAAGTTAAAAGATCCCTAACACCATGCAGAAAATGGTCTTGATCATCCACTCCCCCTTGTTCTTGTACATCAGATGAAGCTTGTATTAGTGCCAGGCAGCGACCCTACAAAAAGCATATCCCCAGAATATGCAAAATGAGTTCATGTAGTCGTAATAATGAAAATTGGCAGATGAAAAGGATACAGGATACTGAGAAAGCAAGAAAGCCTGATGTCACCTTAAGTTCGGGCACATATTAAACAATAAGTAGAACAAACTGTGTCACCAAGTGAATTAATGTTTTTTTTTTCCCCTTCCAAAACTAAGAAAAGATGGTGCATAGCGAAACATGAATAAAAAACATCAAGCAAACATAAATAGGAAGAATTGAAGGAAAAGGAAGAGACGGAGGAAGAGGAATGGAGACGTGTTAATAATTGTACGTGTACAAACAACAAAATGAGTAACAACCAACCAAAGATAAGAGCTATACCACTCGGCCTTTTGTTGCTGACAAGTATGCTTGCAGCTCCGACTCAATAACTTTAAGCAAAGAATATGCTCCAAGCATGTTCTTCTTCTCCAACTGACAAGCTATCTTTAAGAACTGATGTCTTGCAAGCTGATTAACAAGATGATTTATAAACTGACAAAAGAAATAAGCAATATGAAGTGTTAGAACAGAAGATTGGAAAGTTTGGGAATACGGACATGTATCTTTCTGAGGGATGACAACCCAGCATTACAAAATTAATGCAAGTATTTAAAACAAAGATTATAGTTCCTTCTAATATCGCAAACAATTCTTTTGTGAGGAATGAGCTTAAAACAATCAACATTCTTCTTTCTATAAAAACAATCAAATAAGGGTTCAAAAAGGTATAGCTGACAGTACCGCTTTCTGCCGGTTGATATAGTATTCTTGGCGCATGACCTTCAAATCATAATCACCTAAAATTTTATTTAGATTGCATCAACAATAATAGCAAGATTTTCAGAACCCAGATAAATCAAATAGGTTCAGAATACACTTATGAAAAGGAAAAGCTAACAAAAAACTACCTTGCAAAATGTATGTGTCTTGGAGTTGAGCCAGCTCCCAACAAAGATCCGGAATAGTCTAAAAGAAATGCGCAATAATATTAAAATAGATAGAAAAAACTAAATGCAACCACAAAAAATACTATATTTCTTAAAAAAAAAGGATAGCACTAGATGAGACATCCACTATTGCAGGAATATCAGGTGGAAACATACCTCGGACAATAATTTTTCTTCCTTGTGATAAAGATTTGATAGCTCTCCAACCAATTCAGAATGCTTTCTCCTGTTCATTATGGAACGTTCGTTATTACCGAGAATAACATATTCTGCTACAGCAAGATGTGCAAGATTTCACAATTTATTCTGATCTTATCAAGCCTAGAATAAAGCCATATTAATTTTTTTCTAGGGTTTTTTTATTTTTTTTTATTTTTTATTTTTTTGGGGCAACGGTGTAATTCTGTTTCAAAACAATGTACAATTTTAATGCACTTTCATTTATATTTTGGAGTGGGAGTCAGAGGGTGCCCATGCATATGCCGGTATATATCTTAAAACATCTAGTCACAAGAAACGCAAAAGAAATAAGAAGACAGTAAAGCATAATGAATTAGTTGGTAAGTTTGAAACTTGTACCTCAGAGAACGAATATCAAGATGAATATGCGCTTCATCTGAACTCACTTGAGATCTGAGTGCCATTAGAATAGCTTGCTGCTTAGCATTCTCAACTTGGGCCTCCACCCACTGTCTTTCACTTGTCCCAAAACTGTTCCAAGAGTTGATTAGTGAAGAATCATCATAAAACTGGCAAAACAGAAACTTTTAGCAGAATTTTAACATGCATTATCCAAAAGTAAAATCACTCAGGCACCTTAGAATTGTTCTTTTCATATTAAGAGAAAAGTTGAAAATGACACTGTTAGGATCCTGGTTGAGTCCCACATTGCTAAAGTATGGGCTTAGCATGTGGGTTTATAACCACTTGAGCACCCTCTCCCTACAAGCTAACTTTTGAGAATGAGTTCTACCTAAGGGGTATAACAATTGGTATCAGAGCATACCCCACCTCCGGCACACATTGCAGAAGGGGCTACCTGAAAAGGCCAGAGTGGGCCGCCGTGGACGTCGGTGTCGGAAGCGTGGTGGTATGTTAGGATCCTGGTTAAGTCCCACATTGCTAAAGTATGGACTTAGCATGTGGGTTTATAACCACTTGGGTACCCTCTCCCTACAAGCTAGCTTTTGAGGATGAGTTCCACCCAAGGGTTATTACAGACATCAACAAGTGCTAACTAACAACGTCAACAAAAGGAGGAGAAGAATCAACACGAAGAAAAAAATTCACCAAGAAGCAGCTCTCCCCCTCGCTGAAGCTAAGAAAAGTAATACTATAAACCATATTCAACTGCTGGGTTTTAACACCCATAAAATATGATCGGAAAAATATAGCTGTCCTTTAGGAAAATAAAAGAAATCTTCTCAATAGGAGTGACTTATAAAAGCCACTGATCCAAATACTTCCATAAACACGGTCATATACAAAAGCAAAACAAGTCTTGAGAAAGTGAATAGAAAAACCAAGACAAGGCAAACATACACTGAACGTAGTCGTTGCAATTCAGACACACGTTGATGATGAGACGTTTCTAGATCTGCAGCAAACACATAGACCAAATAATCATTAACATGATGTGGAAAAGATTCCCAAAATAAAAGGCCAAAACTTGTAGAAATGACTTCTTTCTTTTCCAACAAGAAAAAAAAGAGAGAAAATTTTCATTCTTGCAGTTAATAAATAAATAATTCCGAGGAATCTGAAAAGCAGTCAAAT